CACGTCATGCAGGTGCTTGTGTTCATCGAGCCGACGGCGACGTGGAGCGAAGTATTCGTTCCAGACTTCGCTGCGTTCACTAACGCGGCAGCGTCTTCGACAGTGCAGGACTTGAAGCTCGTCATCCTTTCGGCATTCGAGCCTATTTGTGTGAACGGAGTCGCGTGGAAGTTCGGCGTCGACGATCTGGAGATCACGAACTGCCAGGGCAGCCACCCCGACGGGGACCAGCTGGGAGACAAGCACCACCTCATCAACGGGAAGTGGTACTACGTGACAGCGAACCGCTTGCTGGAGCAGCTCGAGGTGCAGGACCAGATCGAGGCGGCGGCCGACGACGTGCAATGAGAAGCTCATGTATCTAATATTTCGTCCGCGAGGCCATTTTTTACGGGCAGCCTGATTTCGCTGGAGCCTGGGCTCCATGCGCCAGTTAACTATGCGCTGATATATCTGCGCACCCGACGGCTGTTCGAACGACCCCGCGCCTGCGGTGCCTGCAGCGAGCTCAAGACATAAACATAACAAATAGTTAAATGTATATTCGAATGCGCCTGCGGCGTCTCGCCGACGCCCCCTGCCCTTTGGAAATATATTGGGCCGTCTTGGAGCCCTTGGACTCCCTTGGGCCGTCTTGGACTCCCTTGGGCCGTCTTGGACTCCCTTGGGCCGTCTTGGAGGCCGCGTTGAATAATCTTGTTTTTAAATCCTGCCGTCCTTGCCTCAACTCCTCCTCTGTCGCTCTCCCTCTCCTCCCCCCTCGCTCTCGCCTGCTGCGCCTCGCCGACCACGGCGACCGACCACCGACGACCGACGAAGACGACGACGACCACCGAGACGACGACGACGACGACGACGACGAGGATCGACGATCACATGCGCGACAACGCAATAACGACGTACGACGGCGACGACGACAACAGCGAAAACGACGACGAGGACCGACACGACGACGACGACGACAACCGAGGAGCGGGCGAGACGACGGCGACTGCGACGGACGGACGGTGGACGAGAGAGGATGAGTTTTTTGTGAGGAAGGCTCAAGAGATATAAAAATATTAACTTATTAACATAATGAAACGATCACCGATCTTAGAGTGTAAGATCGGCGATCTTCGATCTTAGCCTAAGATCGCAGAGGCCTCTGGGTACAACGAGGACCCAGACGTCGGCGATGAGTTCCCTGATAACGGCTGGGTCGTCAACAAGAAGACGGCGATCGCCGTCGTCGTGGACTGGCCGACGGGCCCGCTCGCGTGCGATCAGAAGGGCGGCGACGGCGACGGCGAGGGCCACGACTCCGCCACCGACGGCAACAAGCAGAAGGGCAACGGCTCCGCCAACGACTGGTACGACGATCAGTACGGCTACAAGAAGGAGTACGACGACTACAAGAAGCAGTACGACAGCGAGTACAAGGAGCGCTTGGACGACCTTGAGACTGCGGGGAAGACGAGCGCAGGAGGGCTTGACCCAGGGTCACGGCTCGTTGTCACCAAGAAGGCGTTCAAGACGATTTCATCGAAACTGATGGAGGATGCAGTGGAGAAGGCGTACAAGGCGGGTTTCAGGTCGGCCATCAAGATTGCCCAGGACCAGCAGCTGAACGAGAGTTCGCGTGAGTCTGGCAACTCGAGCACCTCGTGGCTCCACGCGAGCGCCAGCTGAGCTCGCGCGAAGGCGCCGGCATCAGAGTGGCAGCAGAGCGAGTGCACTCCTCGGACCAGCCTGGTCCTTTCGGCCATCTTGGCCGCGCACGCGCAGAGTTAAGAGATCAGTCGGCCTGCCTGGCCTCAAAAAAACACATGTGGCCATGGGCTTGGCGTTAGATCGCAAGTCCCAGCGTGCCATCGCGGCTGCTGGGCGCACGTCGCCAAGTTTTGCTATCGGCGTTAGATCGCAAGTCCCAGCGTGCCATCGCGGCTGCTGGGCGCACGTCGCCAAGTTTTGCTCCAGCGAAGAGGAGGATCGATCGGAAGGGGCGGACGACGTGTGCTACCTGTTGAGGGTGGGCGCGGGTGGCGCAGGATAGTCCAATCGTTGCAGCGCTGGTTCGGGCCCGCCGCATTCTCGCGAATGGGGCGGGGCACTGGGTGGCGACCTTTCCCTGAGCACTGCCAAATGCACGTTTCTCTGCTGCTCGACAATGCTCCCTGTCTTGTCTGCGAGTCATCTACCCGTTCAACTCCTCGCCCCCGCCCGCCCCATCCCCATGGAGTTCTAGACGCTTCGCGCATCCCCGCCAGCCCATCCAGAATCGACGCCCAGGCGAGTTGAGGGGCGATCAAGGATTCACGGGGGCAAAGAGGGGGGCGGCCGAACCGCGCGATGGAGAGAGTGGGGCGAATGGGGAAGTTGGATGGATGGATGAGGGAGTAGGGAGAAGGAGGACGAATGAGATGAGGAGGAGGAGGGGACGGAGAGGGAGGAGGAGGATGAGATGAGACAGGAGGAGGAGGATGAGATGAGACAGGAGGGGGAAGGAGGGGGAGGAGGAGAGCGAGCAAAAGAGGCAGATGTCTCCTGGATGCTCTTCGGGGCCTCCTGGTGTATCTGTTGAGCGTCTTGGGGCGCATTGGGGGTCTCTGGGCGGTCGTGGGGGGGCTCTTCGGCGCCTCGGGTGTCTCGGGTGGGCCTCTTGGGGCCGCTTGGGATCCTTTTGGGACCCCCCTGGGGGCCCCTGGGGCCGTCTTGGGGCCACCTCGGAACCTCTCAATGGGCACCTCCTGGTCGCTGCTTGGGGCCACCTTGGAGGAGATCTATTAAACGAGAGGGGTGCAGTAATTAGCGCACCCCCTCCCCCCTCCCCAGGAGGTCACTTTGGGGCCGAATCCCAAGGGACCAAACAGGATGGACGCAACACTGGAGCCATAATGGTGCCAGCACCCTCGTAAAAGCGCCCAGGCCAAGGAGGGGGCGTAGGGGGGGGGGTAAACCACTCCCCGATGAGGAGAATGAGGGGTGGAAAAGGAAACGCCCTAAACCACCTACGCCCAGAGGGCTGGTGAGATTTCGCCTTCGGCCGCGCCTGGCCGAGAGCTTGCCGCGGGCGCCGTGGCTGCGCCAACTGGGCCCGACATTCAGCGTGATACCGATGGGGGGCGCATGTACATGTGTCCCCCATCGGTATCATGGCTGGGAGATGCCGCAATGTTTCGCGTCGCCCCCTTTCACGCATCGGCGCCCCGCCCGCCCCAGATGCCCCCTTGACGTCGTACTCTGTCATTCTGGCAATGTCGGCTCCCCATCTCTATTGTTCTCTCTCACTCTATCTCTCTCCCTATTGCTCTCTCATCTCTCCCCCTGCCCCTCTCCGCCCGTTCCTTCTGCGCAGCGCCTCGGCCCGATCTCCCATCTTGCCCGCCCCCGTCGACGCCGCCCGTTCGCAGCCGCTCCTGGCAGGCCAGCCTGAACATGATTAACGCTGGCAAACTGACAACGTACCTCGCAGTATTCGGCTGGACAAGTTTAAAGCCGCTGGCTATGTTTACCACTCACTCTCTCTCTGCTGCACGTATGCACATAGGTGCTACCAAGAGGGACGCAGCGCGTTCTCTGTCTGCTTCGGGCTCCCACGCCCCTCTAACGACGTTAGGCCCACGTGTTTCAAACCGTTCTCGGGCCGGCGCAGATGGAAAGGCTGCCGTCGCAGGATGGAAGACCAGAGCTTGGGTCAATAAGACCAAAGATCAGGCCGCATCCAAAGAATACCCACCGGCGTTTTGCGAAGCTGTCGCAGAGTTCATAGCGCAGACGCGCTAGACACACCGTGCACGCGGCGCTGTATATATTTACATGTATATGTATATGTGTATACATGTGTATATATATATCATATAACTGCAACTGACAGCACGCCAACGCACGTTGCACGCACGCACACGATGCATTTCATAATTAGCCAGCCTGCCGACGTTGCCAGCGCCCGAGCCAGAGAGCAGATTTGCCCATGGCTGCCACAGCCGCCTGGAAATATGAGTGCAGCGTGGACGGGATGGTGGGATGGAGGAATGGAGCTAAGATGATGGGTGCGAGGTCCGTGGTAATCGCACTGTGATGGTCGAATGCGCCCACGGCGAATCACCGCCGCCCCCTGCCTTTAGGATGTGCCGCGCTATTGGGCCATGTGTTTCCACAGCCTTTGTGGAAGCCCTTCGGAGAACACATATACCAGCATTCGCGTGAATGCCAGTGCATGTGAAATCCTCATCCACCTCGCGTGCAACGCGCCTTCTTCTCGCAATCGCATCACTGCCCTGCTCCCCCCCCTTCCTCCAACCCTCCTACCGATCTCGTCGGCCCGAGATTCGGCGACGCGCCGCCGATCCGATCGATGCTCGAGCTCATAATTCTATTGCTATCAAGTGGCATCTTTCGGTCCTTACCGATTGTTGCACGCGAGGCCGTTCCACGCTCAATGCTATGATTTTCTTCCTTTTTTAAACAAAACAAGAAAATTCTTCAGGGGCCAGCAGGTGGCCCCAACTGACTTAAACTAGCGGCCAGGAAGGCTTGCTCTGTAGAGTGCTGCGCGTGTCGGGCAGCTATCTCCTTGGCTGCAGCCCGAGAAATCGTGGGTAGCCCGCTGGCCCCTGGAGAATTCTCGAGATCCTCGCAAAGAGCGTCGAACGTCGTCGCGCGCAGTATTTCGATAGTTACAAAACATGAAAAAGATCAAATATGGCAAAACCATCCTAAACCAGCATGATATACTAAAACAAAATAAGAACAAACACCACGTTCTTAAATTAAGATCCTGGCGGCCCCTGGTGTGTGTGTGTGTGTGGGTGCGTGCGTGCGTGCGTGCGTGCGTGCGTGCGTGCGTGCGTGCGTGTGTGTGTGTGTGTGTGTGTGTGTGTGTGTGTGTGTGTGTGTGTGTTGGGCCCCATTGACAATAGCTACGTACGTACGCATCCGCTGCATGCGGTCGATGCCGCGCGTCCGCCCCCCCAAGCGCGTTGGGATTGGGCTCCGCGGGCGCGCCCTCCCCGCGCCAGGGCCAGCGGCGGCGCCTTCTTCGAGGGGCTGATCCGAGACCACCAAGACGGCACCATGCCACCGCACGCCGTCAGAAGGCCGCAGAAGGGGGGGGGGGGGCGCGAGGCGGAGCGGAGAGAAGGCAAGAGGGCAAGCAAGGCGCGCTCGCGCCACATCTGTCACCCTGCCCCTCCCGCCCAATCCCCTCCTCTCCGACCTGGGAGCCGGCTCAGAGGGTCGTGATCCCCAAGTAGGTGGCATTGCAGCATCTAGCTCAGTCGTTCAGCTGTGGAGCGGGGCAGGAGCAGGAGGGGGGGCGGAGAGGAGAGGGGAGGGGAGGGGAGGGCGGATAACAACGAGTCAGAGGCAGAGGCGGGCGGACGGACGGGCCGAGAGACGGTGGGCGGGGACGGTGAAGCAGACGTAGGTAGGTAAGGAGGGATGGATGGACGGAGGGAGGGATGGGCGGGGGTGAACGGATAGAGGACGAGGAGGAGGAGGAGGAGGAAGAGGAGGAGGAAGGTGGAGGAGGAGCAGGAGTTGGAGGAAGGAGGGGGAGGGAGAGAAGGAGGGATGATGTGGAGGAGAGCGATGGAGGAGGAGGAGGAGGAGGAGGAGGAGGAGGAGGGAGGAGGAGGAGGAGGGAGGAGGAGGAGCAGGAGGAGCAGGAGGAGCAGGAGCAGGAGGAGCAGGAGGAGCAGGAGGAGCAGGAGGAGCAGGAGTAGGAGGAGCAGGAGGAGGAGGAGGAGGAGGAGGAGGAGGAGGAGGAGGAGGAGGAGGAGGAGGAGGGAGGAGGAGCGGCGGCAGCAGCAGCAGCAGCAGCAGCAGCAGCAGCTGCCAGAGCAAAATGAGCAGGGTTGAGGGGCGGGGAGACGGAGGCGGAGGAATACCAGGAGTGGCAGGAGGAGCAGGAGCCAGGCGCGCCTGGCCCGCTCGGAGCTGCGTCGGCCGCGTTCCCCCCCTTTCCCCGCCCCCCGCAGCTAAGTGTTGAGTGCCCCCCTCCCCCCCTCCCAGCCCCAGGAAGCCGGCCCCCGAGGGCCAGAGGGCAAGGTTTATAACCCCCCCATCCGGCCGGCAGGATCGGGCAGGGGCGCACGCGCGCGCGCGCACGGCGTCCCTCGCTCAGCGCCCCTCCAGCCCCCCCTCCCCCGATGTCTCCCCGGTCCAGCAGGATGGCCTGGGGAAGGCGGAAAGGGACGAGGATGAGGCGAGAGGAGGATGGGAAGAAGGAGGAGGAACGGGGAGCGTGGGGATGAGGGGGAGGAGGATGGGAGGAGGAGGAGGAGGAGGAGGAGGAGGAGGAGGAGGAGGAGGAGGAAGAGGAGGAGGAGGAGGAGGAAGGGGGAGGCGCGAGAGGGAGGGAGGATGACATGTTCGTGGGTCTCAAGTGCGTGCGTTACGCGGACGTTGGTAACACGAGGGTGGCTTCGCGGGCCTGGGGGCCGTATTCATGTATGTGGTTGGGCGCGTTGCTGATTTCGGTCTGGACATTAGAGGTATCGGTAGTTGTGTCTTCCCCCCGCTGCGCCGTGCGTCAAGAAACCTCTCTCTGTCGTTTTGGTCCCTCGCGTCTTCGGCGAAACGTCCAGGTTGCTGGCCCCGGCTGTTCTTCCCCGCGCGTGCACGAAGGTGCACCGACAGGGCTAGCCTAGGGTGTTTTTCAAGATGTTGCCTTATTTGGCCCAGGTCTCTCAGGTGAGTCCATCGGAATCTTCACGTCGGCAGTGAAGTGTCTCCCCTGGCCTCCTACCTCCCAGGCGTCGCCCCAGTCGGTCCGTGCGACGCCTGAAAGTGGACGGGCGTCGACGCGTTGTATATGTTAGCCTCCAGTTGATAGCAGAGCAGGAGACGGCTGTATGCAATGTTTATGCTGTCTTAAACGAACAGGTAAGTTGGCAAACCATTAACACTTCAACCGCGCATAGCGTTACAGTCTCTGGTGTCGCAGCACAGATCTCACGGGTGTCGTGCCAAAACCCGCCCATAGACACTTGTGGTCTTCATCCGTAATACCACACGTGGCCGATTGATTTGTTTCCCCAACCCTCCTGTGGAGTTGGGTCCTCGTTTTGAATATCCTCCTCCTCCTCCTTTTCCTTCTCCTCGCCCCCCTCCTCCTCTTCCTCCTCCTCCTCCTCCTCCGCCTCCCCCTCCTCTTCCTCCTCGTTTGCATCATCTTCTTGATATCAATCACCACCCTCATCATTAGCATCACATGTTCGTCAGACCCCTCACACTGTTCGTACCCACCTAGGGAGCTCCACCGAAGGCCCCAGCAACGGCTCGAGCAGTGCAGGAGGCCTCATCCTCCTCTTCGATTTTTTTTGCGTTTAGCCAGACTCCTCACACGTTTCGCAATCCCATGTGGAGCTCCACCGAGGGCCCCAGCGGCAGGGTTCACATGGGCATCCGCCCCACTTCGGCAGACCCATCGCACGCTTCGTGGCCCACAGGGGGCCCCACCCAAGGGCCCCAGTGGCAGGATCCACATGGGTACCCGCCACGCTTCGGCAGACCCCTCTCACGTTTCGGGGCCCCATGAGGAGCTCCACTGAGGGCCCCAGTGGCAGGGTTCACATAGGTACCGGCTCCATGCTGCTAGACCCCTCACACGTTTCGTGGCCTTCCAGGGAGCTCCACCGAGGGTCCCAGTGGCAGGGTTCGCATGCGTACCGTGGCAGGGTTCACATGAGTACCCGCCCCATTTTGGCAGACCCCTCTCACGTTTCGTGCCCCCTGATAGGGGACTCCACCGAGGGCCCCAGTGGCAGGGTTCACATGGGTCCCGCCACATTTTGGCAGAACACGTTTCGTGACCCCAAAGGTGGGCTTCACCGAGTGCCCCAGTGGCAGGGTTCACATGGGTACCCGCCCCATTTCGGCAGACCCCTTTCACGCTTGGTTGCCCCATAGGGAGCTCCACCGAGGGCCCTAGTGGCAGGGTTACTGCAGGTCCCTCCATGTGTTTCCGTGTATTGAGCGGTCCTGTTTCTAGTCGCCCCGTGTTTGAATAGGGGTTGGCTTCTTCGCCAGGCTGTTTGTTTTTTTCTGCGCAGTGCAGTACGACGTGCCTGTGGACATATGTGCGACTCGTCTCCGCAAAACCTTCTTCGTTACGTTACACGCTCTTTGCCATAATCACTATCATCGGCTCAAAATCCTTCCAAAACCTTAGGGACATCAATGTTTCTGGCTTTTCGCCGAGGCCTCAAGCTGGCTCCAAGATGGCCCAAGATGATTCCAAGAGCGCTCCCAGGGCTTCCAAGAGCGGTTCAAGAGGGCCCCAAGCACCCCCGTCAGCATCCCCGTCAGCATCATAAGCACCATCTTCAATTGCCACCGTCACGGACATCACCACTATGATCTATGCACCACGCGGCCGCGCAGGTGCAATGGCAGGTGTGGTGGTGAGATGTGGAGTTTGTTGCATGAATTTCCTGCACGTGCCTCCCACCATAGAGTGGGAGGTCGATCACGTGAAGCCTAATAGGTCCAACAGGCCTCGTCATGGCTTTACTGCTACGAGTAGCGCCATCACCCAGTCATAGTCATTTTGGCACAGGCCGCTTGGAGCCACTCCGCCACAACCTCCCCTCGTTCCAGAGGCGCTCGCGCAGAAGATCGAAACTCAGCGCGCCCATGTCCGCCACAGCGGCCCCCGCGATCGCATCTCCGGACCGTGGCGCCGGCGGTGGCTCGCGGGCCGCAGCCGCCGCTGAGGCTGCCGCTGCATGGAGTCCACCAGGCGTCACCAAGCGCGCCGCTAGCCCAAGGGCGCTGCATCGGGGCGACCGCCCCGGCCGCGCGCCGCCCACGCCACTCACGCATGGGCTGCGCACGGCCGCGGGCGCTGCCAGCCCTCAGCTGCGGCGCTGGGACAACTGCACCGGGGTGGCCTGCGTGTCGCCCGCCCAGTCCGACTCGCCTTCCCGCGCGCGCCGCCCTCCGAGCACCTCGCCGAGCCACGGTGCCCCCACGCCGCCCAGGCTAGTGGCAGACCCCGCCCGCGCGCCGCCCCTCGGGCACGGCTTTGTGGGGGCGGCCCCTGTGCACACAGCGGTGCGCCGCCCGAGCCACTCGCCGACGCCGCGGCACGCTGGGGTGCCCTTGAGGGTGTCCGTCTCCCCGTCGCCTCGGCCGCGGTTGTCGCACGCCGATGGCGCCGAGCCTGACCGCATGCGGCTCGCGCAGGACCGCATCAGGCGCTGCCACTCGGCCCCCGCGCCCCCGCGCGGCTCGGGCGCGGACCTCCGCATGGCCGTCGAGGCGATGGCGGCGAGGGCGAGGGACATGAGCCATGCCATGAAGGAGTGCCACGCGCAGGCCAGGGAGGCAAATGCCGCAGTGAAGGCTGCACGGGAACGCTCGCAGGAGGCCCTGCGCCACTTCCGGCTCAGCCAGGCCGACTTGGTGCACCCGCGCAGGGCCAGCCCAGCCGCCACGCCGCGCTCGGCGTGCGGCTCGGTGCCTGCCACGCCGCAGCTGGTCTCCCGTGCCGCGAGCCCGGGCGCGCGAACCCCTACGCCCCTCGGCCCTCGCCGCTCCGCCTCGCCGGCCGGCGCTGCCCGCGGGGCGGCAGGCCACTGCCCGACGGTGCCTCCCACGTCGAGCCCCGCCGCCTGCCGCCGCCCGCCTCGCCCAGGCCTGGGCGGCCCCGCGGGAAGCCCGAGCGCACACCGCTGGCGGCAGCCGCTCAGCGCCCGCGCCTCTCCCAGAGCTGGCTCCGAACCCCCGTCGACAGAGCAGCGCCTGCCCGTCGCGCCAGAGACCGGGCAGGTCCCGGCACCTGCGCCCGTCGAGGACGCAGGCGCCAGCAGCCCACCGCCGCTGGAGCCGCCACGCGACACCGCCGCCGCCTCGCCAGGCGACGAGCTGCGGGCTGACGGTGCGGCTGCTGCAGCTGCGTCTGGGTGGGCCTCTGCGCGGCACGCTGCCAGCGCGGTAGCCGCGGCGGCGGGGTTGGCGCAGGACGCTGATGGCATGCAGCTGCCCCCGCCCCCGCTGCCGCCCCCTCGCACGAGAGATGCCCCCACCGCGGACGCGCCCGCAGAGTGCGTCGGACCCGCGGCCGCGGCGGCGGGCGCCGCCGCCGCAGGAGCCGCAGCGGACGTCGCCACCCCGCGGCGGCTCCCTGACGACTCGCCGGGGCCGTCGCGCAGCCCCCACCGCGCAGACCGCCCCGCGGAGCGTGGGCTGTCGTGCTTCGCGCACCTCGGCAGCGCCCGGACGGGCTCCCCAGGCTTTCCCCCTGGTGGCGCCCCCAGCTCGGGTGTTGCCAAAGGCGTCCCTGGCCCAAGGTGTCCCCAGGATTCCCAGGGAGACCCTCGCAGCCTCCAGAGCACCCCTGCCGCAGCCCAGAGGGTCCCGTGGGCTCTCGAAATGGAGAGAACAGCCGGGTGCACCCTGGGCCAGGGCCGCTCCTGGCAGCACCCGCCCCGCAGCGCCCGCGCGAGCTCCCGCACCAGCGCCCGCAGCGGCAGCGGCGGCGCACCCCGCGGGGGCGGCTGCAGCGCCGCGGCCCCCGCCGCAGAGGCCCGCCGCCCCCGCGCCGAGCGCCCGGGGCCCAGGGCGGCCTCCGCCGCAGAGGCTCGGGTCCGGCGAAAGGGGGGGATTGGGAAAGGGGGGGGGTACGAAATTTGCTGCATGCAGCTGGTTTCGGCCCCACCGAGGGGCCCATTCCTCGATACATAGCCGCCTCCGGCGCCGGGAGGCGCCGGGAAAATCAGCTACGTGAGCTGATTCTCAAACCCCCCCTTTGCTATCCCCCCCTTTCGCCCGACCCGAGAGGCGCCCGGGCACCCGCGCGGTGCGACGGCGCGGGCGCCCGCCGCGCCGCTCGCGCCGCCGGCGTTGGGCCTCGCACGGGCCTGGGAGAGCAGCGTCAAGGTCACCGACCCAGACATGATGGCGTCGTGAAAAAAAATCAGGACGGGTTTTCCCCCATGATTTTCGACCCCCAGAGGCCCTCGCCGGGCCCCAGGACCGCCAGAAAACGACTCGGGATGAAAAGCTGGTCCCGGGGAAAGGGTCGGGACTTCCCGGGACGCCGTCCTGAAAAGATCAGGACGTCGCATGTCTGGGGAAGAAGAAGAAGAAGCATAAACGTTCGGAGGTCCGCTCGGGGCCAGCGCCTGGGCCACCCCCGGCGGCGCCTCCAGCCCTCCACCTGGATCGGAGACGCAGAAGTCAGAGCAACGTTGTGGGCTCAGCAGGGGCCCTGGCCATCGGGCTGCCCCGTCAGGTTCAGGTCAGGGAACCAATTCGTGGTCAAGGCTCGCCGTGAGCAGGAAAGCCCCTTCATTCCTTCTGTGGCGTTCCCTGTGATGACACGATGGCTGTACACAGAAGCGTTCGGAGGTCAGCGCGGAGTTCTTGGGTCGGCGTTGGACCCTCCTGGCGGCGCCTCTGGCGACGCCCCTGGCGCGCTCCACGCGCCAGGGAGGGGGCTCCAGCGCCGATCCAAGAAATCCGCACGGACTTCTGGAAGCGCATGTTTTTGCCCTTTCTGGTTCCCCTACAGCCAAAAGGCGCTGAAATAAGGACCACGTTGGGCTGAGGGGGGGCCCTAGTTCCTCGGCAGTCTCTTCACTGGGTCTAGGCCTGGGGATCTGTCCGAGGCTCGCCGTGGCCAGATAGGATTCTCGCTCCCTCTTCGGCGCTCCCTATGGCAGAACGACGACTGCAGGTCGGCATGCTGGCCAGCCTCAACGACCTCCTGCTCCCCGCCAACGTCGGGCCCAAGCCCCCGAGGGCTGGCCCGGTGGACCACGAGCCGCCGCCCGGGCAGGCGGCGGCAGACGCGGAGGGCGTCGGCTACAAGGAGATCATCTTCGAGCAGCCCATCGGCGCTGGCAGCTTCGGGGCGGTCTGGAGGGGCAGCTGCCGCGGGGACGTTGTTGCCATCAAGGCTTGCAGGGTGGGCGATGCGAAAGAGGGCGCCATGCTCCTGCGAGAGATCCGCTACCTCCAGAAGCTCCGGCACCCCAGGCTGGTGTCCTTCCTCGGCTTCTGCAACCGTCCGCCCCACATCTACCTGCTGATGGAGTTCATGTCGGGAGGCTCACTGCACGCCCTGCTGTTCGGGCCCTCCGCGAAGAGGACCAGGCTCCCCTTTGCGAAGAAGAGCAGGATGTCCCTGCAGGTCGCGGAGGGCCTTGCCTACCTGCATTTGCTCAGCGTCGTTCACCGCGACCTGAAGACCATGAACATCGTGCTGGACGCCGAGCACAACTGCAAGATCTGCGACTTCGGCCTCACCGTCACGCTGGAGAAGACGCACCTCACGGTCCGCCACGTGCAGGGTTCGCCGAGGTATATGGCGCCAGAGCAGTTCGAGTCGACCGCGAAGATCACCGAGAAGGTCGCGACTAGACGTAAGAGTGACCGTTCGCCAGAGTGTTCTGTGGTGCGGAACGGCGTCCCCCGATCGCTGAACGCGAAGCGGCAGCAGTGGCTTGCGCGCCCGGGTTTGAACACCCCGCGTCCACCGTTCAGTCGCGCACCAAGGATCATTTTTGCCCAGGATTACCTCTTACGTGTAGCCAAAAGGTCGACATCTGGCAGATGGGCTGCGTCATGCTCGAGCTCTTCTGCAGCTGCGTGCCTTTCAAGGGCGCCACCGGCATGCAGCAGATCGCCACGGACCTGCTCGTCAAGCGGCGCGCGCCAGGCTGTCCGGCCGAGGCGGACCCACGCGCGCGCGTCCTCGTGCAGTCGTGCCTCCGCATAGACGCCCGCCACAGGCCTTGGGCCGACACGCTGGTCGAGGCGCTGGCCTGCGTGCTTGCCGGCTGCGAGGATCGAAAGGCATCGCTCGGACGTGTGGATTCTTCCTCCGCGAGGGCCATCGAGGAGCGTCCTGGATCAACTCGCGGACCAACAACTACCCTGTTGAAGAACCCAACCCATTCTACGGACATGGAAACGACCAACATGACCGCTCAGTGCACAAGAAGTCGTTAGGGAGCTCCGCCGTGCCCCTGATAACTTCGCCAGGGAACGTCGGAACAGGCTCAATACGCACTCACGCGACGCACATCACACGCGGGATGTTAACCATGCACGCGGCGCGGTAACAAGGGATGGGATGAGCAAAAACCTTGCTGCCACTGGAGCCCTCGGTGGAGCTCCGCATGGGGCCACGAAACGTGTGAGGGGTCTGCCGAAATAATTGAGCGGGCACCCATGTGAAACCTGCCACTGGGGCCATCGGTGGAAAATCCAAAGGGGGCTGCGAAACGTCTGCTGGGTCTGCCGGAATGGGGCGGGTACCCATGTGAACCCTGCCACGGGGGCCATCGGTGGGGCTCCCTATGGGGCCACGAATCGTGTGAGAGGTCTGCCGAGATGGGGCGGGTAACCATGTGAACCTTGCCGCTGGGGCCCTCGGTGAGGCTCTCTGTGTGGCCACGAAACGTGTGAGGTCATGCCGTCCAGGAGCGGGTACCCATGTGAACCCTACCGCTGGGGCCCTCGGTCGAGCTCCCTATGGGGCCACGAAGCGTCTGATGGGTTTGCCGAAATGGAGCGGGTACCTATTTGAACCCTGCCACTGGGGCCCTCGGTGAAGCTCCATATGGGGCCACGAAACGTGTGAGGGGTCTGCCGAAATAATTGAGCGGGCACGCATGTGAAACCTGCCACTGGGGCCATCGGTGGAAAATCCAAAGGGGGCTGCGAAACGTCTGCTGGGTCTGCCGGAATGGGGCGGGTACCCTTGTGAACCCTGCCACGGGGGCCATCGGTGGGGCTCCCTATGGGGCCACGAATCGTGTGAGAGGTCTGCCGAGATGGGGCGGGTAACCATGTGAACCTTGCCGCTGGGGCCCTCGGTGAGGCTCTCTGTGTGGCCACGAAACGTGTGAGGTCATGCCGTCCAGGAGCGGGTACCCATGTGAACCCTACCGCTGGGGCCCTCGGTCGAGCTCCCTATGGGGCCACGAAGCGTCTGATGGGTTTGCCGAAATGGAGCGGGTACCTATTTGAACCCTGCCACTGGGGCCCTCGGTGAAGCTCCATATGGGGCCACGAAACGTGTGAGGGGTCTGCCGAAATTGGGTGGGTACCCATGTGAACCCTGCCACCAGGGCCCTCGGTGGAGCTCCACAGGGGGCCACGAAACGTTTGATGGGTCTGCCGAGATGGGGCGGGTACTCATGTGAGCCCTGCCACCGGGGCCCTCGGTGGAGCCCCCTATGGGGCCACGAAACGTGTGAGGGGTCTGCCGAAATGGGGCGGGTACCCGTCTAAACCCTGCCACTGGGGCCCTCGGTGGAGCCCCCCATGAAGCCAAGGAGCGTCTAATGGGTCTGCTGGAGTGTGGCGGGTACCCATGTGAACCCTGCCACTGGGGCCATCGGTGGGGCTCCCTATGGGGCCACGAATCGTGTGAATGGTCTGCCGAAATGGGGCGGGTACCCATGTGAACCCTGCCACCGGGGTCCTCGGTGGAGCTACCTATGGGGCCACGAAACGTGTAAGGGGTCCGCCGGCATGGTGCGGATACCTATGTGAACCCTGCCATTGGGGTCTTCGGTGGAGCCAACAATGGGGCCACGAAGCGTGCGAGGGACCCACCGGAAGTCGAAAAAGGCAAACGAGAAGAGGAGGATGAGGCCTCCTGCGCTGCTAGAGCCGTCGCTGGGGCCTTCGGTGGAGCTCCCTAGGGAGGTACGAACCGTGTGAGGGGTGTGGCGAACATGTGATGATACTGATGATGGTGGTGATTGATATCAAGATGATGATGTTGACGAGGAGGAGGAGGAGGAGGAGGAGGCGGAGGAGGAGGAGGCGGAGGAGGAGGAGGCGGAGGAGGAGGAGGAGGAGGAGAGGAGGAGGGGGAGGAGAGGAGGAGAAGAAGGAGCAGGAGAAGGAGAAGGAGAAGGAGGAGACGCGCGGCGCTGCGAATGAAAAACGAGGACCCAGATCCACAGGAGGGTCGGGAAACACACGCCTCGAAGCCGAGAAGCGCACGGGGAAGGGACGTCCGGGCGATGGCGAGGGAAGGGAAAGCTTCACACATGCAAACCTCTTTCGGAGCTCCGCGCGGATTTCTTCCCTGGACCCCCCAGCGGCGCCTCCTCTCCTCCTCCTCCTCCTCCTCCTCCTCCTCCTCCTCCTCCTCCTCCTCCTCCTCCTCCTCCTCCTCTCTTCCTCCTCCTCCTCCTCCTCCCTCCTCCTCCTCCTCCTCCTCCCTCCTCCCTCCTCCCTCCTCCCTCCTCCAGTGCCGATTCAAGACGCCCGCGCGGGCCTCCGAATGCCATACGTCCTTCAGTCTTGCTGCCCTCTCTCCCGGAGGACGCGGACCACACGCAGCACGCGTGAGGGCCGCCCTGCGGCAGAGGAGCCGCGAGGAGGCGCCCGCGGAGCAGCTCCTCGGGCGCGCGCGGCTCTCCTTGAGACCACCCCTCCCTGAATCTCGGGCCGGACGAAAGGGGGGGGGGATTGGGACAGGGGGGGCTACGAAATTGGCCGCATGCAGCTGGTTTCGGCCCCACCGAGGGGCCCATTCCTCGATACATGGCCGCCTTTGGCGCCGGGAGGCGCCGGGAAAATCAGCTATACGCGAGCTGATTCTCAAACCCCCCCCTTTGCTATCCCCCCCTTTCGCCCGACCCGAGAATCGTTCGGCCGCAGGCCAGCCATTCTCAAGACTGCACGCGGCCTGGCCAAGGGCGGCGGCGTGTCGCCTCCTCTCCTCCGCGAGGCCACGCCGCCGCCGGCGCCCCTCTTCAGCGGCCCCGCGGGCCGGAATTCAGCGAAGCCGTCGTGCCGGCACCCTCGTCCTCGACCTTCGAGGATCGAGGGTGGAGGGGCCTGGACGTGCTCGACTTTTTGTTTGGGACTCTGGGGGACTGGAGGCTCTGCAGGGCCTCCAGGAACCTCCAGCAGGCCCCGCCGACGCCGGCACCTCTCTGAGTGGCCGCGCGGGCTGGGAATCAGCGAAGTTCTCGCTCTTGCACCATCTTCCTCCTGCTCTTCCTGATCCTCTTTCTTCTTCTTCTCCTCCTCCTCCTCCTCCCCCTCCTCCCCCTCCTCCTCCTACTCCTCTTCCTTCTCGTCCTCCTCCTTTCCTTCCCCTTCTCCTCCTTTCCTTGGATTCCCTTCGGGTATTAATCACGCGTTGAGATTGGAACGATCCAGAGAAGACTTTTCCATCCACGGTTCGGAGCTGCATGGGTGGGTACGTTCTACCTGGCGCTGTGCTAGATTTACAAAACAGCATCGTTATCATCATCACGATCATCATCATCATCATCATCATCATCATCATCATCATCATCATCAGCAGCATTATCATCAACATCACCATCAGCAGTATCAACATCATCATCATCATCAGCAGCATCATCACCACCAACATCATCAGCAGCAGCAGTATGCTCATCATCAACAGCATTATCTTCATCATCAGCAGCATCATCGCCATAAACACAGTCACCAGCAGCAGCATACTCATCATCTTAATACTCAGCATCATCATCATCATCATTAGCATCATCATCATGATCGTCACCATCATCAGAATCAGCATCGTCAGCATCATCAGATCCATCAGAAGCCTCATCATCATCATCATCATCATCATCATCATCATCATCATCATCATCATTGCCGCCATCGTCAGCATAATCATGTTCATCATCATCAGCATCATCATCATCGTCGAAATAACGCAAGCACCGTCATAATCACATGTGGCATCATGCCCACCATCTGAAGAGCCATGGAAGCATCTTCATCACCGCGATCATGTTTGCACTGCGCCTGCGTCATCCCGACATCTCGACGCCACAGACACCCAGCCGCGCTAGGACGCGTCGTCGGGGGGAACTCGCCCCGCCAGCGACCTTCAGTGAAGGATAAGGGGCAGCAGCAGCAGCAGCAGCAGCATGATGGCGCGCGCTCGAGGCGGGATGAATGAGTGCTGCGTATCGTATGGAGCGCGATAGCGCATGAGCTGTGGCTTCCAGCCCTGCCTGCGTGGCCCTCGTTGTACTTCGGCACCACTGGATCAGCGCGCACGCGGTTATGCGATCTGGGCGGCTGACATGCCAACCCCTCAGGGAGCCGTTGCCTGTTCGTGACCCACTCGATGATCGTCTCGGCGCAGATGCGAGACCACTGGCACTGCTTCAAATCTCGAGCCGCTCGCGCGCGGCTGGTGCCGAGGTTCTTCACCGTTTCTGAGAGGAGCTGCTTGACGCGTGCGATCCGCGCAATGATGCGGCTTTTTGATTCGTCCGTGGCCTCGCACACGTGTCGTGACGGGCTCGAGCGTATAATGCCCAGGGTCATGCTGCTCTCGGGCGAAAATGCCCAGGGCAACGTTGCCCAGAGTGCGGACGCGAATCTCCGTGGGCAAGCGTCACTGAAGAAGCCCCGCTGGATTCTGAAGAAGCCGCGCTGGATTCTGCCCAGCGGCTCTTCCACGTCTTGCAGCAGATTTTAGGGACTAGGGTCTAACATGCCTGTTTGAAGTGCCAACTGTCATTGCTGTCCGAAACTGTCACGCGTACGAGTCGCACCATAGATGACGCATGCTGCTCTGATGACCCACCGGCTGTCGGTTTTGATGCGCAGGTTGTGGGTTCGCGACAGCGTTTCTTTCGATATTGCGCACCTTGCCGATGGCTTGCGTCATTGCGCAACTGTGGGAGGAACAGCAGGACAGTCTGCTGGCGAGCAAGCGATCACGGGCGCCCACACACAGCTTCGTCGACACGAATCACGAGGCTCGATTATTATGCCCTATAGAATTGTCATTCGGCCGAATCGGCCACTCTGCCTGCGTCGTGGGTAAGGAGACTTTTACGTGTCATTGTGTTTTTTTTGTGGAGTCCGTGAGGGATACCTTGGGGACCGGTTGGGAGCTTATTGGGGGCCTGCCGTCTTGGGAGCCTCTAGGGGGCCCGCCGACTCTCTAGGGGGGCATCTTTGGGTGGAGGGCTCCAGATGTCAGTTCGAAGCTCCTCTTTCGGGCCCCTCTGGGGGGCTCCTGGGCCTCTCTGGGGGGCTTCGGGGGCCCTTTGGGGCGGGTCTGTGCGGCCTCTCGGGCCCTCGCGGACAGAGTTCACGGGGGGGGGGGAGAGAGGGCAAGGAGGAGGAGGAGGAGGAGGAGTTTGGGCACGCCCGCAGGGCGGCAAGAAGCCCCCCCCCCCCCCCCCCCCTAAGGTCACCTGATAGCACGTTAGAAGCGTGGACTCCACGCGCCCAGGGCCTCCAAAGCATTCGCACGGCACGCCCCAGAATTCGCTCGGGAGCGCCAGGAAACGCGCAGGAGCTTCGCGCAGCGAGCATGCGCAAGATTCAGCAAAGATATCCCGAAGGGGCCCGAGGACGCTCCACTTCGTGCCTCGCGGCGCGGTGGTGGATCACCAGTTATGGTGATGATACCGCGTGGACCCCAAGCAGCTGATTCGCGGCATGCGCGCGGCCTCGATTCCGACGCCTTGGCGCATGGAACACACGTGCCACGCCCAAGCTGTCAATCAGCACTGGGTCACACTTCTGATGCTCGGGTCGATAGCAACATGCCGCCCATCGGCGGGACGCCTGGCTTCCAACAGGATTGAAAATCAAAGTCATGCGCCGCGGCCAAGCGGGAGTGCAGCTTTCGGGGGGATTTGTTCGGCGTTTGGGCGAGAACGGCATGCCGCTCTTTCTGGACAGCGTGCGCCACGCCAAAGTTTGATTCTAGTGTTCAAGAGAAGTCATCGCGTCGCTACGGAATGGGGATACCATTCCGCCCTGTCGCGCGTAATGTGTGCCGCGGCCTATTCTGGCCACGTACTTTGCAACATCGCTGGCTAACAAGTCCATGGTGAGAAGAACCACGTTGACTGTTTGCTTTGTGTGTTGGCGGATTGGGCGGAGGGGGCCACTTGAGGCTTCGATCATCATGACGAAATCGACGACGTTGGGAGTATATACCCATCCGGAAATGGGAGGTGAAAACAGAGCCCTCCCACAGATGTCCAAGCAACATCCACCGTGGGCAGTGCACACGGCCGCACGTAGAAGTCCGAGCAGCAGCGCGCAGGAGCCCACGCCATCCGACACACGTGCTACGGCTTAGGGGCCCAAGTCTGCCAGACAAGGCAGCAGCGGCCGTGGGTGACATGCGGCCCCACGCGCGGGAGTCAACGCGCCGACGGCCGACTCCACATGGCAGATCCAGTTCTTTACAGCACAGGTAGGGCCCCCAAGGGCAAGCACCCACCGGGTAACATGACATTAGATGTCTCTCTCTCTCTCTCTCTCGCTCCTTCGCTCTATGTATACATATATACATATGTGTATACATATATGTATGTATGCATGTATAAGAACGCGCGTGTGTGTACACAAGGGACGGCATCGTGAACGTTCAGCAGTCTCAACGAACGATTGCCACCACAAGTGTGCAACACGTCAGTCGTGGGAGCATTGCTTTGGCACGCGCACACGCCACCGCCGAGTTATGCATCTGTGGCGCTACGTGAGGCTGCGAGACGCTCGGTAATGGCTCGAGGTTTCCCCAAGGCGGATTCAGAAGCCACTCCGACGCCCTGAAAACGCTTCGCCAAGACTTCGCATAGGGCGCCAAGAGGTAACATGCAATGATTTCCCTGAGGGGTTCAACTGATGTTCGCACTCTCGCGTTGGCTGGCCCCCGAGACCCACCAACTGCTTCCACGAGGCCTGGAGAGGCCGCATGCCACCGTGCTTGGGTTTCGCGTAGAAGGTTTATTGGATGTTCGTTGGGGCCTCGTGGGGGGGGCTCTCGGGGGCCTCCCGGGGGCACTTGTGATGCCTCTTGGGGCGTCTTTTGGGCCTCCTGGGGGCCTCTTAGGGCCCCTTGGGGGCCTCTTGGGGGCCTCTTGGGGGCCTCTTGGGGGCCCTTGGGGGCCTCTTGGGGGCCTCTTGGGGGCCTCTTGGGGGCCTCTTGGGGGCCTCTTGGGCACCTCCTGAGGCCTCCTGGGGGGCCTCTTGGGGCGGAAGTCTCGGCTGTTCCGTTCGTGTTCCCTCTCTTGGGCCCCTGTTGGGGGCCGTCGTGGGGCCCCCTTGGGCCGTCTTGGGCGCCTTTTGAACCATCTTGGGGGCCCCCTGGGGCCCTCTTGGAGGCCTCTTGGGCCGTCTTGGGGTGATCTTGGGGGCCTTTTGGGCCGTCTCGGAGCGTCGGAAAGCAGAACAGGCGAGAACGCCCAATTCCATCAAACACCGAAGGACAATCAATGATGTTTGCCTAGTAGTGCCCTCGCGGGAGGCCTCTTGGAGGCCTCTTGTGGCGTCTTGGAAGCCTTTTAGGCCATCTTGGAGCAATTTTGGGCGTCTTGGAGCGACCTTTCAGCTACTCGGGACCATCTGCGACTAATGGGAGGGTTTGGAAGGTCGCTTTGGGGCACGTCACGTCGTGTCCGAGGCACTATGGCGGCGCAGCGCCGATTCTCTTTTCTAAAAAGAGAATAAACTTTTACCCCCCCCCTTCCCATGGCGTTTTCCGCCCCCCTTTCGGGTATGTAAATCAAATACGAGTCTGACCACATCGCCATCCTAAATATGAAGTTGCACTGTCCCAGGGGGGCCGGTATCGCCCCCCTGAGGTTCCCTTGTAAAGAACAATACGCGGGGACATTTATTGCTCTAACATAATACTTTTTCGCGAATCCCTTGCAACACATTGGACGAAGTGCACACGCGCGCGTCGTCGCGCGGGCATGCCGAAATCCTTCAAAAACCTTCGGTGCCAGAAGGAGTTCGCAATCGAGCTTCCAAAAAACATTCAAATACACAGGGTTTCGCAACACTGATTTGCTAAACAAGTTTACGCGCGAGCTCTTGTGAAATTTTAAGAAAACCATAGGTGTTTCAAGATTTATTTCCACAAAATGCTACCAAACGGGCTTCGCGCGCATGTCGAAATCTGTCAAACGCCCTTGCGCGTGTGCCGTCGCGAGAATCCTCTGCAAAAAATTTGGCGAAGTGCAGACGGGCGCGTCGTCGCGCGCGTATGCCGAAATCCTTCAAAACCCATTGGTTTCGGAAGGATTTCAAAATCGTGTGTCCAAAAAACCTAGAAAAACACAAGGTTTCGCAGCACGGATGTTCAGCAAAAGCGTGCGCGCGCGCTCTTGCGTCGTCGTCGTCGTCGTCGCCGTCCTCCCTCCTCCCGCGTCGTCGTCATCGTCGCCTACGTCGTCCTCTGTCTTTCCTCGTGTTCGTCGTCGTAGTCCTCTTTGGCGTCGTGGTCGTTTCCGTCGTCGTTGTCGCCGTGGTCGTCCTTCCTCCTCCTCCTCCTCCCTCGTCGTCGTCGTCGTCCGTCGTCGGCGTCTCGTCATCGTCCCTCCTATTTCGTCGTCGTCGTCGCCGTCGTCGTCGTCGTCGTCTTCCCTCCTTCCTCGTCGTTGTCGTCGTCGGCGTCGCCGTCCTTCCTCCTTCTTCGTCGTTCGCGTCGTCGCCGTCCTCCCTCCTCCCTCGTCGTTGTCGTCGTTGTCGCCGTCATCGTCCTCCTCCCTCGTCGTCGTCGTCGGCGTCGGCGTCTTCGTCGTCGTCGGCGTTGTCATCGTCGTCGGTGTCGTCGTCGTCGTCGTCGTTGTAGTCGTCGTCGAAGTCGCTGGAGACGTCGTCGGTGTCGTCGTAGTCGGTGTCGGCGGCGTCGTCGTCGTGTTGTCGCTGTCGTCGTCGGCGTCGGTGTCGTTGCCAAGTGTCATTTGGTACCTAACGTCACGGTCTTCAGAGGTCTTGCGACCAAGTTGCGGGTGGGAGGGTGGGAAGTTTGCACGAGCAGTGGAGAGGACAGTTTCAAGACAGTCAAAGTGAGATGTACACCATAGATTGTACCACACATATTGCATCGCACAGATTCTCCTTTCTAAAAGATTAATCGATTCTACCCCCTCCCCCCCCGGACTTATCGGCTCCCCCTGGGATAGTATGATTTCATATATATTCTGCACACTCGTCCATCCGAATATGAAACAATATCCTCCCAGCCAAACCGGGTTCCCCCCCCCCGAGGTTCCCTTGTAAAAAACACTATGCGGTGACATTGTTTGCTCTAACATAAGACTTTTTCGCGAATCCCTTGCAAAAAATGGGACGGAGTGCAGTCGCGCGCGCATGCCGAAATCTTTCAAAAACCTTCGGTGCCGGAGAGATTTCAAAATTGAATTTCCAAAAAACATACAAAAACACAGGGTTTCGCAACACTGATTTGCTAAAAAAGCTTACGCGCGAGCTCTTGCGAAATCTGAAGAAAACCATGGGTTTTTCAAGATTTTCACAAAATGCTACCAAACGGGCTTCGCGCGCGCATGTCGAAATCAGTCGAACGCCCTTGCGCGTGTGCCGTCGCGAGAATCCTCTGCAAAAAATGGGACGACGTGCAGACGCGCGCGAAGTCCCGCGCGTATGCCGAAATCCTTCAAAAACCTCCGGTTTCGGAAGGATTCCAAAATCGTGTGTCCAAAAAACCTAGAAAAAACACAAGGTTTCGCAACACTGGTTTTCAACAAAAGCGTGCGCGCGCGCTCTTGCGTCGTCGTCGTCGTCGTCCTCCCTCCTCCCTCGTCGTCGTCGTCGTCGTCGTCGTCGCCGCCGTCGTCGTCTTCTGTCTTTCCTCGTCGTCGTCGTCGTCTTGGCGTCGTCGTCGCTTCCGTCGTCGTTGTCGCCGTGGTCGTCCTTCCTCCCTCGTCGTCTTCGTCGGCGTATCGTCGTTGTCCCTCCTATTTCGTCGCCGTCGTCGTCGTCGTCGTCGTCGTCGTGGTCTTCACTCCTCCCTCGTCGTTATCCTCTTCCCTCGTCGTCGTCGTCGTCCGTCGTCGGCGTCTCGTCGTCGTCCCTCCTATTTCGTCGCCGTCGTCGTCGTCTTCGTCGTCGTTGTCGTCGTCATCGTCTTCCCTCCTTCCTCGTCGTTGTCGTCGTCGGCGTCGCCGTCCTTCCTCCTTCTTCGTCGTTCGCGTCGTCGCCGTCCTCCCTCCTCCCTCGTCGTTGTCGTCGTTGTCGCCGTCATCGCCCTCCTCCCTTGTCGTCGTCGTCGGCGTCGGCGTCTTCGTCGTCGTCGGCGTTGTCATCGTCGTCGGTGTCGTCGTCGTCGTCGTCGTCGTTGTAGTCGTCGTCGAAGTCGCTGGAGACGTCGTCGGTGTCGTCGTAGTCGGTGTCGGCGGCGTCGTCGTCGTGTTGTCGCTGTCGTCGTCGGCGTCGGTGTCGCCGTCCCCCTCCTCCCTCGTCGTTGTCGTCGTCGGCGTCGCCGTCCTTCCTCCTTCTTCGTCGTTCGCGTCGTCGCCGCCTTCCCTCCTCCATCGTCGTTGTCGGCGTTGTCGCCGTCGTCGTTTTTTCTCCTCCCTCGTCGTCGTCGTCGTCTTCGTTGTCGTCGTCGGCGTCGGCGTCGTCGTCGTCTTCGCCGACGTCGACGTCGGCGGTGTCGTCGTAGTCGGTGTCTGCGGCGCCGTCGTCGTCGTTGTCGCTGTCGTCGTCGGCGTCGGTGTCGTGGCCAAGTGCCATGTGGTACCTACCGTCACGGTCTTGTCTTAAGAAGTCTTGCGACCAAGTTGCGGGTGGGAGGCGGGTATGTTTGCACGAGCAGTAGAGAGGACAGCTTCAAGACGGTCAAAGTGAATTGCATTACATAGATTGTAACACCTAGATTGCACAACAGATGTTATGGTACGTAGATCGCACTACATGAGTTGCATAGCATAGATGGCACAGTAGATACTGCACGTCGCACATTGCACAACATAGCTTGCACAGCATATATTGCACACGACCGCTCGCACAACGTATATTGCACACAACATATCGCACGACATAGGTTGCACCACACAGACTGCATTATACAGATGTGAGGCGTGCTTTGCTAAACACATGATGTTTGGGGCCCACGCAGCCTAACATGTATACATACACGCGTACACACTTCCCTATGTCTTGGCCCGTCCCGCCACCGTACTTAATTCTTGCGTAAGGGCGCAGTGGGAGCAATTGAAGGCAACCACACATTTCCAGCAAGTCCCTGGAGAGCTGCCCTGTCGAGGGCTTCTTTGAACTTCCACGTGTTTGCCTCTTGGAGCTACTTAAAGGCACTCGGGACCTTCCTGGAGCCATGTTGGGCTGTCATGTGGAGGGCGTCAACGTACGTAAAACTCGAACAGGTTTGGCGATTGTCACCGCTTCGGGCCACTGTGCACAGCCATCTTGGAGCCTTTCGGGGTTACCTCGGCTCCGTCCTTGTGCCATCTTCGGGTTGGCCGTCTGACGCTCCTTTGAGAGGCGCCTGAAGCTTTTTTCAGGCGTTCCTGGCGCCCTCTCTGGCTCGCGGGGAGGCCCTGAGGCTTGACGTAGGGGAGGGGTCGAGGCCCTGCCGCCAGGGGTCCATGGGGCCCTCCCAACCCGCCAGGCTTGAAATGCCAGCTCGTTTGACAGGGAACTGGGAGAACCTCCCCAGAGGAGGCCAGACCCCTGCCTCCCCTCCCCTCTCCTCTCACGGCTCGTGAACATACACTCTAGGACAAGCTGGCCCAGGGAACGAAAGGCCCCGACTGATGCCTGACTCGCCCGATGCACTTTTCAATGCAAGGGTGCAGCCCGAGCCAGTACTGGATGGGTCCTGCATGCTGCCGCGACGGCTCGAAGACGTCTGGGGCGCTCCAGGCAGGGCCTCGCCTCCGCGGGTCGCAGTAGTTGACGCCTCCTTCTCGGCGGACGCTTGCTGACGGCCAGCGGAAGTAAATCGAGGGCGGCTCGGCGGCTCCGCCAGTGGAAGCCGGCGGAAGCCGACGATTGTGAACGTCGCCACTCAGAGTTGCAAAGTGTCAGGGATTCACGGTCTCCAGAATCCGCCAGGACTGCGCCAGAGTTGACCAGAGGAGGAGGAGGAGGGGGAGGAGGAGGAGGAGGAGGAGGAGGAGGAGGAGGAGGAGGAGGCGGAGGAGGAGGAGGAGGAGGGGGAGGAGGAGGAGGAGGGGGAGGAAGGAGGAGGAGGAGGAAGGAGGAGGATGAGGAGTAAGACGAGGAGGAGGAGGAGGAGGGAGGAGGAAGGGGGAGGAGGGGGGAAATTTTGAGCAGCCGCCGCACCAGGCTCCTCATCGAGCTCCTGCAGGCCGTCGGGCACATCCACAAGCACGGACCCGCCCGCCCAGCCGCCACCCCGGCACGGAGGCCACGGCGCGTGCGGCTCGAGCTTCCGGGGCCGACGAGGCCCTGCCGCGAGGTCCTGCTGGGCCTGAGCCTGCCCAGCAGGCGGCAAGAGTGTCAACGACGCGCCGCCGTGGGGAGACCGTCGGTGCGCTCCTCCTTCGCATTTGTCCGGGCACCTGGCGCTGCCGCAGCAGTTGCATGTTGATGGGCTCCCCGCGGCGGCGCGTCGTCGATCTTGTTTCTGCGTCCCCTTTCTCTGAAGGGGCCTTGGGACACACAAATAAATAGACACAAATGACAGGATTCCCCTATATTTACAAATATTTTCGGGTTTTTTTGTCTTCCCCCTCACTTCCCATGTTTTCCCATTTTTTCGGGGGAATCGACGATTCATTGTGTCTGTGTGTTTCTTTCCCTCCTGAGTATCCCTGACCAGGCCCAGCTCCGCCACATCAACCGCCACCAGCCCAGCCGCGACCCGCACCGGCTTGCCCAAGTCTGGCGGCAGTGTTCGGCGATTAGCCCGCGGGTCCCTGGTCAGAGTTTGGCCTTCCTCCCCCCCCCCCCCCCTGGCGGCGCCCCCAGCGTGTAGATGCGAGGGTGCCTGGGGTGGGGGAGCGCGAGGGGATGTGCCATGCAAGGGCGACGATGAAGGGAGGCCAGCAAGTTCATCTTTAGAGCTGAATTTGCTGGAAGCGGGGAGAACGGATCCCTGGCCCTTCTCTTCCAGAGGCAAGGAGACGAAGAGAAGAAGGACGGGTGTGGGGGGGAGTGAGGATGCGAAGGCGGTGGAGGATGGGGTGGAGCGCTGTGGCTCTGAGAGCTACTTGGCGGCAGGGGACAATGATGAGGATGAGGACGAGGGCTACAACGATGAGGATCAGGAGGAACACGAGGAGGCAAACGAGGAGCAAGTTTTTGTAATGCCTGTCATGGCTGTTCGCCGTAAAACCCATGCAAGAGCCGCAGGAGGAACGACTGGCGGAAGAAAGAGACAGGGGAGGTCAAGTAGGAGTAGGAGGAAGACGGGGAGGATGAGAAGGAGAAGTCCGGGGGACGGACTAGGGGGGAAGGAGAGAGGAGGATCACCAGGAGGAGTGGGAGGAAGGCCCGCGTAAGCCTGATATTCGTCGACGGTGACGCAGCGCACCCTCCCGTCACGCGTCCCCTCGTGATGCCCTGCGGGTATGCCGTTCCACCGCGAGGGGCGGCCTTCTTGACAGGCGCACGCCCTGCAGGCGTGCCGTGACCCCACGGGACCCCGTGTTCGTGGAGGGGCTGGGCGAGGCGACATGCCCCAGCTTGGGGGCCAGATGCGAACCCTGCCCCTACCCCCCAGGATTTCTGAGGGGGAGGGTGGGGTTCACTTCGCTCGGGAGCTCCCGAACGAAGTGAACCCCACCCTCCCCCAGAAATCGTGGGGGGAGGGGTAGGGTTCGCATCTGGCCCCCTACCAGCGAGAGCCCCGTCTGGAAAAGGACTGTCCCTCACATCGGTGTATAGTTCGTGCAATAACACAGGCATGGCCATACGTAACCCCCCCTGGGCGTCTCAAGCGAGCGAGGGCCCCATCTTGAAAGGGAGCCGCCTCCAATCCCTGCAGTTGCTGCGCAAGCTTGAATGTCAGGCGGCAGAGTTGGAGACACTCCGAAGCGGGAGCCCCATGTTTGAAATACGTCACCCTCTCTCCTTGTAGATGTTGGCAGCTGGTAAAACGATTGTGCGCGGAGCTCAGGCATGAGCCGCCTCTTGACTACCAACCCGCTCCGTCCGTGTACTTAATGGTTTTCATCTTGAAGACGGGCGTGCTCGACGCCAGGGCCCGAACCACATTTTGACAATGAGCCGCCCTCCTCACGTGCAGATGTTGCAGTTGTTGAATGCGAGCGTGCGCGACGTCACGGCGAAAGCCTCAGGTTTGAAAAGCACTCTTGCTTTCTCTGTGCAATTTCTGGATTGGTTAAAATGAGCGCGCACGGCTGCAATCGGCGGCGGGCGAGGGAAGGAAGTGAGAATGAGCAGGCCGTCTCAGAAGGCGGCGGGATTTTTCAGAAGCGATCCAGCCTTCTGAGAAGTTTTCTGCGTTTGCGGGGAAGGCTCAGCAAATTCTAGACGCACGACCGACTCCAGCAGTACCTGACCGACACCAAACGCACCACCACCAACTCCAGCAGCACCACGACACACCAGCGACCCACTTCAGCAGACCAGTGTGACTCCAGCAGCATCATCGCCCTCACCAGCTGCACCGAGACCGACTCCAGCTGCATCTGACCGACACCAACAGCACCACCAACTCCAGGAGCACAACGACCAACCAGCAACCCACTCCAGCAGAACCAGTGCGACTCCAGCAGCACCTACACCAACCCCAGCTGCACCACGACCGACCCCAGCAGCACCTGACCAACACCAGCAGCACTGCCACCAACTCCAGCAGCACCGTGACCAACCAGCGACCCACTCCAGTAGCACCAGTGTGACTCCAGCAGCTCCAACACCAATCCCAGCTGCACCACGTCCGATTCCAGTAGCACCCGACCGACACCAACAGCTCCACCACCAGCTCCAACAGCACAACGACCAACCAGCGACCCACTCCAGCAGCACCAGTGTGAGTCCAGCAGCATCAACGCCATCACTAGCTGCACCACGACCGACTCCAGCAGCACTTGACCAACACCAACAGCACCACCACCAACTCCAGCAGCACAGCGACCAACCAGCGACCCACTACAACAGCACCAGTGCGACATTAGCAGCATCCACACCAATCCCAACTGCACCGCGACCGACTTCAGCTGCACCTGACCGACGCCAACAACTCCAGCAACACCGCGACCAACCACGACCGACTCCAGCAACACCTGACTGACACCAAGGGCCAGCGGTGGCCGGGGGCTCAAGCGCTGCTCTGGAGGACGCAGGTGGCGAAGATGACTCTGACCTCCATGAGCTACAGCGCCCCGGTCGGCGCGCGCGAGAAGTGTGGGCAGTGGCATCCAGCCTTACCGCTGCACAGCGAGATGTGGGTGGTGAAGCCGGAGCCCGACATCATGAGCTACAGCGGCTCGACGAGCGCGGGCGAGAAGTGCGAGCGGTGGCAGCCAGCCCTATGCTGCTCAGCGCGGTGTGGGTGGTGAGGCTGGAGCCCGACATCATCATGATCTACAGCGCCCAGAACAGCTCGTGCGAGAAGTGCTGGCAGTGGCAGCGGGCCCTATCGCTGCTCAGCGAGATGTGGGTGGTGAAGCTGGAGCCCGCCGTCAAGAGCTCTGGCACTCCGATCAGAGCGTGCGAGAAGGGCGAGCAGTGGCAGCGAGCCCTACCGCTGCTCAGCGAGAGGTGGGTGGTGAAGCTGGAGCCCGACATCATGAGCCACAACACGGGGCAGCTGGCCCTACCGCTGCACAGAGAGATGTGGGTGGTGAAGCTGGAGCCCGACATCATGAGCCACAGCGCCCCGATCAGCGATTGCGAGAAGTGCTGGCAGTGGCAGCCGGCCCCACCGCTGCTCAGCGAGGTGTCGGTGCCGAAGCTGGAGCCCGACATCCTGAACTACAGCGCTGTCCTCAGCGCGTGCGAGAAGTGCGAGCAGTGAAATTCGGCCCTTTCGCTGATCAGCGAGACGTGGGTTGTGGACCTGCTGCGGCGATGCACGTGCGAGAACGGTGCAGGAGACAGGGATGTGGATTAAGAAGGCTGGGACTCAAGCGGGTGGACAGAAAGGTGTTTAAGAGGTTTTTTATTGCGAAGGCCTTACGGCCGGTGCCGCCGACCCTGAATGGCGACGACGACGACGATGACGACGAGCGCTCTCGGGGGCGTCGTGGGGGTAGTTTGTGGGCCTCTTGGGAAGCTCTTAGGGGCCGCTTGGAAGCCTCGTGGGGGCCTCTTGGGGCTTCCTGGGGGTCTCTTGGAGGGGGCCTGGGACGTCTTGGAGGCTTGTTGGACGGTCTTGGGGCTATCTTGGGCGTTTGCGGCAGATCTTTGGGCGACTCGGGGCCCTCTTGGGCCGTCTCGGGGACCATGTTGGGCATTCGGACCTCATTTGGAGTGTTTTCGAGGTTTCGAGGCCGCCCGAGGAAAAACGAATCTGCCCCCCACCCCCCCCAGGACCCCCCCCGGGACCCCCCCCTCCACCCCCCCTGGGACCCCCCCCGGGACCCCCCCCCCCCCTGGGGAAGGGATCGAAGGGAAGGGGCTTCCCTTCGACTCGATTACGACACTGCTCGATTTTTTCTCGCTCACGAGCTTGAGAAGGAAGCTGCAGGGAAAGGGGGCGACGGAGGCGACGACCGACGGAGACGACGACTCGAACAGCCAAGCCCCTCGCACACGCCGACAGGGTCGGCGGATATAAAAAAACCTGCGCTCGCACTACGGTCGTCTGCTCCGGCTTCCACCCGAGCTCCGTCGACCAGTACGGGTCTCGACGTCCGTTGAGGGCCACTCCGTCGTCGAGTTCGCACAGGCGTGCGGGTGCCCCCCTGCACGGGTCCTGCGTTGTCGGTGGCTGGCTTCCACCAAACATGCGGGTGACGGCGGGCAGCACCCCTGTCTTGCCGTTCGCTTGCCTCTTCGCTACGCGCATGGCGAGCCTCTGCACCACGGCTGTCTGAGTCTTCATCCTGTGTTTGGTATTCAATTCACCCACCATTGTGGCGTGCATCGTGGACTCCTTGGTCCTTCTCGGCCTGGCGGACTTCCTGGACTTCACCAGCTCCGCCGCCTGAGCCCCGTGTAGCGCGCCCCGGTCGCGGTGGTTCCTTCCTAGGCCTTAATTTAGATCGTTGCGTTGTTGCTTCGTTTCTTGACGGTGCGCAGTTGCGCTGTGTCGCTCGCGATCAAAAAGTATCCCCACCAGCTACACGGTACCTGGAGGCCGCTTACTTCCGCAACTGCCTCGCACCCGCCATTCTTGCCCATCTCGGAGGCGCTTTCGCTACCCCGTCTGGTCCGTTTGCTGTTCTACGAGAAGATCTACCAGGTCCTGTGGGTCGTGGTCGGCGAGGTACATGGTGAACCGTTGGCCGGTATCTCTTTTTTTTTCTCCTGGGCACAGCCGTCTTGGGTAAGTGTGGCGCTCGACTTCCACCCGCTTTTGTCATGTGGGCGGTCTCTCGCCCATTCTGCACCGGCGTCCTCTTCGGCATCTTCGTGGACGTGCTCTCGGTGCTGCGTGATACCTCCCGCGCAATTTTTTACTGCGCCACGCTCTGTTCCGCCTGTGGCCGACGCTGTTCACTTCGCTGCGTTTTCCTTCGCTACGGCGCGGCCCGCCCTAGCGCGCTCGGCGTTCGACTTGGTTTCGCGCGCCCGCGCGCCAAAAAGTACCCACACCAGCCCATCCAGAAACGATGTCCAGGCGAATTCAGGTGATCAGGGAAGTGCGGGAGCAAGGGGGGGGACGGCCGAACTGCGCGAAGGAGGGAGGAGGAGAAAGAGGAGGCTGGATGGATGGATGCTGGAGTGGGGAGAAGGAGGATGAGTAGGAGGAGGAGGAGGAGGAGGAGGAGGAGGAGGAGGAGGAGGAGGAGGAGGAGGAGGAGGAGGAGGAGGCGGAGGAGGAGGCGGAGGAAGAGAAGAGAAGCAAGAGGAGGAAGGAGGAGCAGGGCAAGAGGTCCCTTGGATGCTTATCGGAGCCGCTTGGGATATCTCTTGGGCGCGTCTTGGTGGCCTCTTGGGGCGTTTTTGGGGTCTCTTGGCGGTCCTGGGGGGCTCTTGGGCGTCTTGGGTGCCTCGGGGGCTCTTGGGGCCGATTGGGACCCTCTTGGGGCCGTCCTGTGGGTCTCTTGGGGGCCTCGTGGGGCAATCTTGGGGCCACCTTGGGGCCTCTTGGGGCCTCCTGGGCGGTTTTTGGGGCCATCTGGGAAAACATCGACCAAAGAAGAGGGGAGCTCCTTTCAGCCCTGGCCCCCCCCAAGAGGCCAACATGGGGCCACAACTTCAGTAAAACAGATGATCCCCGCCGAGGCCGTTTTGGGCGCTCCAACTACCCGCGACCAGCCCCGTCCAGGTCCATGGGAGAGGGGGTATGGGGGGAGGGGCAAACCCTTCCCCGAAGGAGAATGGAGTGGAAGAGGAAACTCCCTAAACCACCTGCGCCCGCAGGAGGGTTGGTGGGACTTCCGAGAAGGGCGGGGAACGTCCGGAATTTCTGAGAAGGCGCGCCCTCTTCTCACTTCCCCCCCCCCGTTCGCCGCCGATCCAAGGCGAGAGCCCGAATTTTCAACCAACATGCGCCCCGTCCCTGGCACAGTTTGTGAACTCAAGGTTCGAGACCATGAATTGATGATCGTGAGGAAATATCACGCGAACCGCCAGGAAGGCTGAAAATACACGTTTCGAGGCGCGACAGGGACGATGTCTATATTGTATACGCACGCAGGAGCGGAACGTGGAGGGGCACGGGTAGGAGAAACACGATTTAATAGGATGATGAAGAAGGAAGAAGAGAAGGGAGGGAGAGGGAGGACCCCTTCTCGAAGTTTCCGTGCTTGATCAACGCCCGATTCGTTGGACCGCACTCCCCGCTTCCCAAATCTAACCCGCACCACGCCATGTTCCAGAGGCTCCTGGAGGCCCGGAGAGGGTCCCGCATTGCCCGCCGCCCAGAAGTGCCTCAAAAGCTTCCCCCAACGGCCGTGGAGAACCGAGGCCGTGCTCTCACAGCCGAGCAGGCTGCTGGGTGCCGCCCGCGCTGCCGCGGCCGCTGCGCGGGCCGCGAGCGACCCACCGCAACCTCAAGTGCAACAACTTCTCCATCTCCTCCTACACTCTCTCCTCGCTCAGCCTTTCTTTCCCTTTGTCCCCTTTCCCTCCTCCTCCTCCTCCTCCTCCTCCTCCTCCTCCTCCTCCATCCGCACGCTCGACTCCTCCTCCTCCTCCTCCTCGTCCTCCTCCTCCTCCTCCTCCTCCTCCTCCTCCTCCTCCTCGTCCCACGATGTGACCGCAGCGTGGCCCCGCTTGCGTCTGGCCCGGTGTGCCGCTCTAGTTGAGTCGAGGCGCCCAAAGATCCTGCCCGATTGCTCGATCGACCGATCATGTGTTTCTTCCTCCTCGGCAAGAAGCGCGCCCGTGCGCTGCCGCGGCGCGGGGCCCAGGAGTGCTCCACCGCGACATCAAGCCCGACAACCTGGTGATGCACTTCGTGGACGACCCGCAGGCCCCCGAAGGCCAGGATCGCCCTGCGCGCCCCGGGGGGCGATGGCGGCCAGCGGGTCCTCGCGTCGTGGCACAGATGCCGGAGGAAGGCTTTGGGCAGTCACGTTCTTTGCCCTTTTCTTCATCCTTCTCCTCCTTCTCCTCTCTGCTCCTCTCGCCGTCGCCTCCTCTCCCTCCTCCTCCTCCACCGCCTCCTTCCGCCTCTTGCTCTTCATCTTCCTCCTCTTCCTCCTCCTCCTCCTCCTCCTCCTCCTCCACGTTTTCCTCCTCACACCTCCCACCTCCTCCTCCTTCTCCTCCTCCTCCTACTCGAACGGCAGAATCGTCTCCCCTGCCGTGCCGAATTGTCTCCTTCACTGTATTGCGTCCGCCGCTGTTCCAGCCGGGTGGCGCGTTAGCTATCTAGTTACCGTGCCCATTTGACGCCCGTTTTACGGCTTGAGCCTCGGGAGCAAAACACTACACCCCACATCTTCGCTTATTGTTAGCAGCGGAGCTTCGGTTCTGCGACCGCCATCTTTCCAGCCGCAATGGCCCGCGCGGCATCTCCGCCCCGGCTGGCCTCGAAGGCCCCGGCATTCGCCTCCCCATCCAGTTGTTCAACTTCGCGCTGGACCGTTTTCACGGTGCCTGTCTCTAGAACGGAGACTCGTTCGATCACAACCACTACAAGAACGGCAATTACAGGACTTCTACAAGGACATTGGCTTCGACAGGGTCACCATTTTTGATCACAACCTGAACAAGAACGACATCAAGAACGTCAAGGACCGCGGCGCCGCCGCTGCCTGCTTCTCTTCCGGGGCGTATTCGGAATATGTTCGACTCGCTCGCGGATGCACAGGCCACGTTTTCTTCGTCGTCAGAACTACCCACGACTGGGGGACAAGCTGCACAGAATGAGCAGTCATCGCTCTCATCAGCAAACTCAGCCAACGGTCCCGAGATGCTCGCAACTATATCGCGAGAGCCGGCCCCCCGGGTTCGCGGCGCATTGCGCCTCCAGCGTTGTCGCACCAGGGCGGCGGACAGCACGGCAAGAACGAGCGGGAACATTGACGCGGTGCACCGCTTCCAGGAGTTCTGCCGCCCGAACCAATGCCACGATTTTCCCTGGGCCTTATCGTCAGACCCCCAAACAAGGGCTGAATCATGACAGTCGACGAGTTCGCGCTCTCCGTCCGCATCCGTCTCAGCACCAGAGGCCCTCAGGAAGAAGCGGTTTGCGCCAGCTGCGGCGAGTGCGTCATTGGCCCGTCTGGCAGTCACGGGCTGCTTTGCGCGAGGGGGCCCTGCAGCGCTGGACACAAATCAGCCCGCGATGACTTTTATGCATTCGCCAGCGCTGGTGGTGGCAGAGCAGCTCGATCCTGTTGGCCTTGTGAGCTCCCGTCCAACGCCCCGCCTTGCGGACGTTCTGACCGGCGTCCCGGATCCGCCCGGGCGCCTGGCGGCATTGGACGAGGGGTCAATGCGATTATGGCGGCCGGGGCAGGCGACGACAGCGTGGAAACGATGGTGCGCCGAAAGCAGCGTCGAGCAGATGGTTTCCGGAGCGAGCTTGGGGACATCGGAGTTGAGTACCACGTCCTGGTGTTCTTGCGAGCGCTGCAGTCGATCGCCCGCGCGCACGCGCGGCGGCGAGGCACGGAGGCGCACGTGGAGTTGCGCCACGCGCAGATCCAGAGAGCCGTCAGCGTCTGGCGCCGCGCCGCTCGCACGGTGCGAACGTGCACGCCGCTGGCCATGGACGGGGACGACGTGGCCGCTCCCAAGAGGCGCAGGCATTCGGGAGCTGTCTGACGCGATGGCGCCGCGCCTGGCACTAACGCTGGCTCGGCCGCGGCCGCGGCTTCGGCGGCGCCGTCGGCCCCTCCGGCGGCATCGGCGGTTCCGGCGGCAGCAGCAGCAGCGACAGCCCCGACCTGACGCACGACGACCCGAGAACCGCCTCACGTGGCCCCGTCCGCCGTTCCTGCTCCTCCTCCTCCTCCTCCTCCTCATCATCATCCGCCTCCTTTTTTCGTTCTCCTGCCCGTCCTCTTTCTCGTCCTCTTCCTCCTGCCCCTCCTCCTCCTCCTCCACTTCCTCCTCCTCCACCTCCTCAACCTCATCGTCCTCCCCCACTTCCTTCTCCCCTACCCTCAGGGATGCATTGCGCCGGTCACGCGGCAGGGACAACAACACATTGTTTTGAGCCGCCGCGCGCGCCCGATGCATCTTGAGGGCAAATTTGTATCAGTCGCCGGCTGGTTTCATCCTGCCTCTTGCTTCCACCCGTCCTTCCGCCCCCCTTGCCCCCCCTCCGCTCCACCAGCGGCGGGGCGCTCCACTGTGCCAGGCGGCCTTGGTCAGGGGCGGTCGTCCGCAGGCTCGCTTGTTTCTGTTCTGCCTGGGCCGAATTGCCGATGTTTGAAGTCGCCGCCGATGGTCCGGCCCCACAGCGCGCAGTTCCGACAGTTTTTGGCATGAGTAAAGTTTTCGCCGCCATCCTTCTCGTCGTCGTCCTTCTCTCCCCGCGCTCTCCTCCCTCCCGAGTTCCAGCTGCTGCTGCCGCTCTTCCACCGCCTCCACTTGTCCTCTCCTCTCCTTTCCTCTCCCGCTCGCCCGTCCGTCCGTCCCCCCCGCGGCGCCGCCACCTGAAAGGCAAGGTCCGCCGGGTGGCCCTGATTGATTTCGACTTCGCGGACGTAGTTCTGGCCCGCGGCGGCGACCCCGCCTCGAAAGGCCCCAGATGAGGAGGAGCAGGAAAAGAAGAAGAAGGAGGAGGGGGGGGAGGAGGAGGAGGAGGAGGAGGAGGAGGAGGAGGAGGACCAGTGTAAACCCAAGACGCGTCAACGATGCTGCAAGGGACGCTCCCTCCAAGTTCCCTTTTTCGAATATATCTGCCTACCAGAATGTTTGACCATTGCGGGCAATACCCTCTTTGAAGACAACCCTCTGATGATCCTCAATATTGCCAGCGCGCCACTCTTGGGACTTATGCGCCCAGGATCAATTGACCATTGAGGTTCGACATTCCTACATCGTGCCAGAACACCGTGCTTTGGATTGCAGCACCACAAACCAGCTTGTATGTTGTGCCCTGACAATCCTAACCCACGCCAGAACACCATTCTGGAACTTGAGCCGCGCGAGCCCTTGAAAATGGTGGGAACTGTTTAGACGATTGCGCGCGGCGCTAAACAAAAGGGACAGGGAGAAGTTATGTATCAGGCGAAGGGGGGGAGCAGTCGGAGCAAGAGCAGGAACAAGAGCAGGAACAGCAGGGTAAGGAGCATGAGAAGGAGAGGGGGAGTGGGGGAGTGATGGGAGGCAGGATAAGAAGGATGAGGGATAGCACGGGGCAGGAGAGGACATTTCGATCACAGGCTGGCGCCCTCCAGGTCCAGAGGTTCGGAGGTGGAAGCCCTCTGCTGCACGAGCAGGCGGCATGTGCACGGCCCCATGCCTCCTGCAAGCTTCAGGGGTCGGGGGCAACGTTAGGAGGGGACATGCTCAGGGAAGGATGCATCGACCCCCAGTCGCCCACTCCTGGCGGCAGGGGCCAGATAGCCCACCCCGCCCAAGAACGTGCGGATTCGCCATCTGGGGCCGATCGCCGACAGATCGGCGATGTGTCGCCGATTCCAGCTCGACGTCCCGCCCCCACCCTGACACGGACCCCCCATAAAAGTTCCCTTTAAGCCACCCTTTCAGAGAGCACGATCTTTTTCGGAATGACGGCCGATTGGCCTGGCCTCCACCACCACCACCACCACCACCACGACCATAAGTTGGAGGGGGGAAGTAGGTGGAGGATGAGGAGGAGGAGGAAGAGGAGGAGGAGGAGGAGGAGGAGGAGGAGGAGGAGGAGGAGGAGGAGGAGGACCCCCTCCCCCTCCCCCTCCTACTTAAGGTGGTGGCGGTGGAAAACAAGCCCACCAACGGCCATCCCAGCTTTCAAAGAGGCGCAACACGCGCTATGGCTCGCGGAGGGGCGCACGCCCCTATGCGCATCCTCCTTCGGCCCGGGCGGAACCTCTTGGCCCTGTCATCTGGCATCATCATGGCCTTCAGGGAGTCCCCCTCCTCCCCCTCCTTCCCCTCCTTGCTGCGCTCCTCCCCCCCCCCACGCCCCTTCTCCCTCCCCGTCGGCGTCTTCGTCTCCCCTGGGGGGAACGGGTAAGAACTGTTCGGCGGCAGGGTGAATTACCGTCTCTATCTTATTTCGGCCTCGTTGGCAGCATGAATCCGGACGGTGTCGTCATTGTGTTCGCGGACTTCGGTGTGGGGGGGGCAACATCATTGTGGCCTTCAGGTAGTCGCTGAGGGTGCTCTTCACCATTCCATGTCCTGCTCGGTATCATCATCATGTTATCCCGTCTTGTCCTGCAGCAGCTTCTTGTGATCGGCCATCTGCTCCTGGTTCTCAGCGTTGATGGACTTTGCCACGGTCACTATTGAGATTGACCGCCCGCCCATTCGTGAGCTTGAGATCGATCTGCTGCACGTTCACATCGTCGGTGCTCTCGTCAAGAAAGCTACCAGCTGTGTCTTCGTGCGCACTTTGATATCCACGTTGATCTTGGCATGCTGGAGATCTGCCAATTGTTCTTTTGTCACGCCGTTGACCTTGTCAAGGTCGGTTGTGATCTAGTTGTGTCCAGCTCGTGGCGTCCACTGAGCGTTACCTGACAGGCCTGCAACTTCTGAGGTTCTCGAGGTTCTTCAAGTTGTCGGCCAGCTGCACCTGTGTCTCTACATTGATCTTGTCAAGATCAGGCATGTGCACCTGCATATTGCTTTTGAATGTGTCAATATCTTTCGCTGTCTAGCTGGTGGGCCTGCAACTTGCTTGAAGTGGGCGTCGGAGCTGATGGCGAAGTACTGCGGAGCCTTGGCTTCATCCAGGCTGCCCGTCCCGCGCCGTGACGTCAGTGGGCTCCTTCTTCATGGCAGGCCTCAATCCCAGCAACACCAGGGTGGCAGCGACCTGGTGCGAAGAGGTGGCCGTGATTGTCCACCTCGAGCCCGTGCTGCCTCACCACCGCCAGCAGCAGCAGCGCCTCGGCAGCAAGCGACATGCCTGCAAGCCACGACTTTTCTACCAGGTGTTGCGCCGCGCTTTGCGCGTCGTCCTCAAGCCGCAGACGAAGTCATCGTTGCACGAAGCCCTGGGAGGGGGAGCAAGAGCACTTGAACATCCCGGCTTGATGGGAAGAGGATGACGAGTAGTGGCAGTAGTAGATGAAGGAGGAGGGTAGGAGGAGGATGAGGTGGATGAGGTGGAGGAGGGGGAGGAGGAGGAGGAGGAGGAGGAAAAAGAAGAAGAAGAAGAAGAGAGGAGAAGGAGATGAGAAGGAGGAGGAGGAAGTGAAGAGGAGGAAGAGATTAGACCTCAGCCACGTTCGAGGGCGTCTCGGGTGTCATGCACAGTAGCGTCCTACGTAGATTCAGAGTAGATCTGATGGTCCTTAGGGCGGGCTGCGATCTGCGAAGCACTCCCCACTTTCGAGGGCTTCGCGGGTGTCGTGCATAGTGACGTCCTACGTAGATTCAGAGTAGACCTGATGGTCCTTGGGGCGGGCTGCGATCGGCGAAACACTCGCCACATTCGAGGGCTGCCAGGGGCTCCAGCGCAGTGACGTCCTGCGCGGACTCAGGCGGCGCGCCTGCGGGCGTGTAGTTTTCGCACTGACAGGTGCAGGCAGGAAGCGTTGCATCTTGCGGGCGAGCTCGGCCCCACTTGCTTCGTAGCATCAGCTATGAGCAGCTGGTCTTTTGGAGCGCCGGGGCGACATGGCACGGACCACGCTGCCTATCCAGCGTGCCACTTGGAACAAGTCGTCACCGCCCTGCATCTTTTGTTGTCGTCTCCTTTCACTGTCTCACTGCTAGTGTCGCGTTAAGTTTCCGGCCCCACACGTATTCCGTCCTTCCCCTGCCCTTCGTCCCCAACCCTCATATCCCTTTCGAGCCTGGGGCCACAGTCCTCATCCTTCTGTTGCAATCCTGTGAGTCGTGCAACGCGCGCGCTCTTCCCATACAGCTTCAATGGTAGACCTTGTGTTCTTGTCATCAGGCGTACTTTTAAAATGTGGTGGGTATGTGGCAGGGGAATTCTGAAAAAGGGCGCTGCCACATTGCGCGTGATTAGCAGGGCGGGTGCGGCTGTGCGCAGCACGAGGCGGAATCAATTTGAGGGCACAGGCGCGCCGGCTACTGGCTACTATGTAATGGACATCTGCGTGGCCATATTCGGGAATTGGAACATATACGTTACCAGTGGCGGGCCGTTTTGCAATCCCAGGAATTTTTGAGGGTCGGGAGCGACGTCGGGGTGGTGTGGTGTATGCTTTTTTCCCTGGCTTCCCGTGGAAGCAGCGAGAAATGTACACACCAGGATCCCGTTTTACACCAGGATCCGCTTTCCTGTGCGAGTTCCGGTGCGGGGTCGGGAGAAACGTCGATGTATAGAGTTCGTTTCGAGGAAGAGGAGGAGGAGGAGGAGGAGGAGGAGGAGGAGGAGGAGGAGGAATACGAGGCGACCCCGAGAGATCGAGACGTGCACAAGGATTCCTGGGCGGCAGGCGGCAGGTGTACGCAGGCGGCTCCGCCTGCGGAGGCGGAGGCAAGACAGGCATTCCACATCCCTCCTCCTCCTCCTCCTCTTCTTCCTCCTCCTCCTCCACCTCCTCCTCCTCCTCCTCCTCCTCCCCTTCCTCCTCCTCATCCTAGGCGGCAAGCAACATGTGTTCAGAGTTTTCGGATCCCGCCAAAGTTGTCCACGGGCGTGCAGCCTTGATGCCGGATCGATTGTGTGGGCATGTGGTCGTATTTGTTTGTTTGGTTGTGTTATTATTTGTTTTGTTGTTTTTATCTCTCTCTCTCTATCCCTTTTGTTTGTTTGTTTTATCTCTCCCTCTTTTTCTCTCCCTCTCTCTCTCTCTCTCTCTTTCTTGCGCAGAGGAGAGGACAATCATGATACGAAGGGGCAGCGAGGGATGGCGAAACAAACGAGGGGAGGAAACACTTGATCCTCGAATGGCGTGTTCGTTGTCTGCGACGCACCGTGTGGCGTCCCAGGATTGTTTCTCGTCCCTCCGTGCCACGTCGGGGCACAGATGGCGCAGCGTGAAATTCCCGAGAGGCCCAGAAAAGGAGGCAACATCGTCCAACAACGTCCTTCTCTTCATCTGGCTTTGATTGTGAGACTTCCCCGTGCCAGACCAGTCCTACTGCGGAACGTACCGCTTCAGCGCGCCGGAGACGCTCTCCGCCCGCCCGCCCCGCGCAAACGCAAGGAGGCCAGAGAGGACTGGCCGTCGCCGTCGTCGTCGTCGTTGTCGTTGTCGTCGTCGTCGTCGTCCCAGACTCGTCTGTCCTACTTGCTGGTCGTTGCTTGTCGCCTCTTTCCCCAGCGCCAGGCCGATACCCGATCTGCTTGGATGAGTGTCTGCCTCATTAGTTCCTAGTTCGTGTCTCTCCCTATTTTTTCCGACCGTCGTGTGCTCCTGTTGCCCCTCTTCCTCTTCCTCCTTGACCTCGTCTTGTTCTCGTTCGCTTCCGCTGCTCATATCCTGGTTCCTCGTTGTCGCCGTCCTCTCCTCCTCCTCCTCCTCCTCCTGCTCCTCCTCCTCCTGCTCCTCCTGCTCCTCCTCCTCCTCCACCTTGTCCTGCCTTCCTCACGCCCCTCCCCGCCATCTTCCCCCCCTCCCCCCTTCCAACTAGCATCTTGGTACTACTCTGCCCGCCCCCCTAATTACACATGTCCAGCGGTGTTCCCGTCTATCGCGTATGGGTTCTTCTTTACACACGCAGTTTCATGTGTCGTGAACAAGTGCCTGCGCGGGGGGGGGTCGTTACTGTGGTTGCCTGAGGACTTGAATGGTCATGCCGATGTGGCCAACCTGGGGAACTCTAGGATGTCTTCGAACTGGGTCTTTTGAAGATCGTGGCCCTCAGCGGCACATAGCGGCGCGAGAGCTTGCGGTCCCGACGGGGCCGGCGGCCTCACTCACGCGCCCGTGGCTTCACGGAGGCTGGTGACCCCGAGCCTCGATCGACCTGACCGTGGCCCAGATGGGGCTACACGGCCACTAAGTGCCACTAAATGACAATGCTCGGAACCACTAACGTCCACCGAGTGCCACTACGTGGTCATTTTCGGAGCCACTAACGGCAACTATGTGCCACTAAACGGTAGATCTCGGGCTACGAAGTGCCGCTAAATGGTATCATAATTCTCGGATCCACTAACGGCCACCAGGTGCCACTAAATGGTAATTCTCGGAGTCACTAGCGACCACTAAATCCACTAAATCGTACTTCTCGGAGCCAGTAGCGGCCGCTAGGTGCCACTAAATGCTAATTTTCGGGGCCGCTAAAGGCCGCTAGGTGCCACTAAACGGCCGCTACAGCCTCTGAGCGGCCACTAGGTTGCCTTCAAATGGTAATTCTCGGCGGTCGCGATGGTTAGTCCGAAGTTCCCCAGAGAGCCCACAAAATCATGCTGAGGTTTCACCCAGTGCCACTTTGTGGCTGCCGCCTGCAGAGGTCGATTGGACGTAAGAGTGACCCTTCGCCAGAGTGGCCTTTGGTGCGGGCCCAGTGAGGCCCCCCGATCGCCGAACGCGATGCGAGGGTGGCGCCTGGCGCGCCCGTGTTTTGCCCCCCCGCAGCCCCCCAAAAGCCGCGCACCAAAGGGTCACTCTTGCCCAGGGTCACCCCTGCGTGTAGCCGAAGAGGCGCCCCGTGCGCGGGGTGCGTCCGCCGAGGTTCCGTTCGGTGCCAGCCCGTGGGCGCCTTCGTGGGCGCCCCGTGCGCTGGTGGGGCCTGCCGAGGCTCCGCCCGCTGCCTGCACGCTGCCGCCCGTGGGGGCCTCCGTGGTGCGCCGTGCTCTCGGCGGGACTGCCGCGGTGTGGCCCGGTGCCGAAGGATTGCAAAAAAACCCGAAGGATTGCAAAAACGAAGGATTGCAAAAAAACCCAGGATTGCAAAAAAACCCAGGATTGCAAAAAAACCTTCGGGGAAGCAGAAAATCCTTCGGGGAAGCAGAGAAGCCCAGCAGTGTCTTTCGAAAAGTTGCAGGAGTGCGAGTAGTTGTTCGGTCGCATCTCTGGCAGCAGACTGATTTCATGTCTCCATGCTCCAGGCTAAAGCTCCTGCTCATGTCCTGTCGATTGGTGTGCCTCTCAACTCCGCAGCTTGCCTACACCTCGATCTAAGTAGAGAAAACCAACATTGCCTTGCCCGTGGGTGCCTCGTGGGTGCCCAGTGTCGGCGATTACAAAGGGTGCGGTTACGCCGGGTGTGGTTTGCGATCGGCGCCGTTGGGGCCTGGGGGACCCGACACTGTCCTCGGCGGGCCTCTGCGGGGCGCGGCGGGGAGCTCCATCGAGGCCCCCGCTTGCCCCCCAGGGTGCCCCTCAGGGTGCCCCCCAGGGTGCCAGTTGCAACCCGCACCCTCTGCAAACCACACCCTTTGGAGCCGCCGACACTGGGCGGGCCCGTCGTGGGCGCCCGAAGCGTTTGTGCCACGTATCGGGGGCGGCCAAGAGGGGGAGGGGATGACTAGGCTACCTCCTGGCGCTCGTCATGGGCCCGGCGCGGTCGCGGACTTCCAATCAGAAGTTCGCAATTTGCTTGTGCTTCGGCGCCGGCAGCCTGTTCCTGCGCACGATGCTGCACAACGTGATGGCCTGCGACCCCTGGGACGTGCGCAGGGTAGATGACCACAACACTGACGTACTGGCGAAACTCTGGCCCGTCGAGATCGGCGTGGAGCTCGCGCAGGGCAATCGGGGGCGGCCAATAGGGGGGGGATGATTAGGGGGCGCTGGATATCATGGCGTGGGCGTGGGCAATGATGTCTCCCCAATTTCATGGTGCCTCTTCTTATTTAATCGCTTCGCTCATTCCGCTGGCCCTCGAGCGCTCTATGGGGCCTTTTTGAAGCCTCTTTGGGGCCTCTTGGGGGCCTCTTGGGGGCCTCTTGGGGGTCTTTGGGGCTCCTTGGCGGCGTCTTGGGGCCCCGTTGGGCCTCTTGGGGAACTCTTGGGGGCCTCTTGGGGCGGGGTAGTCGAGTGCACCCCCCTCGGAGGCCACGATCCTGGTGAGGGGTGTCGAAAAAAGGCCCTCAAAACCATCTCTGGGTAGACTTGGTCGGGCTGCGGTCGGGATATTTTTCGCCGGGGGACCCCCAGGGGCCGCCCCGCGCGCGCGAACTAGAAATATTGTTAACCAGTTACCGGAGATCTGAGCACGCCTCTGGCCCGCTGGGCCGGCGAATTTCATCACGTCCCTGGGCCCCCCCCCTGGGCCGCGCACATGCCGCCGGCCATGATTTGCGCCCCCCCATCATTGGACGCCCCCGAACAGAGCTTACACCGCACAGCTTGCACCACACTGACGACTCTTTCTGCAGAAGACTTGGGATCCCCTCCCCCCAGGAAATGTCCGATGGTTTTTTTTTGGTATTGCAATGTCATACGATTCTGCCCCGTCGGTCATTCTAAATATGAGCTCGTACCATTCCAGTCAACCCGTTATTGCCCCCCCCCCGCCATCCTTTGCAAAGATACGATGCGCGCGCACCCGCTTCATCAACAATCAGCCATTTCCAAGAGTCCCTTGCACAAACAGGGACGAAGGGCATACGCGCGTGTCGTTGTCCGCGCATGCCGCAATTCTTCCGCAACCATCGTTTTCGTCAGGCGTTCAAAAACAAGCGTTCCGAAAACAGAGTATACATAAAACACCACATGGTTTTGCAAATCCAGTTTTCGAGAAAAGGTCTGCGCGCACGCCCTTGCTAACTCTTGCGAACAACTGAAGGTTTGCGTTTACTTCAAATTCGGCCAAACGGGCCTCTCGCGCGCGCATGTCGAAATCATTCGAATGCCCTTGCGCGCGTGCTGGGGGGCACGATCCCTGTCAAATAATACTGTGCGGGCCACTCGCGCGCGTCGGCCGCGCGTGCACATGTCGAAGTCCGTCCAACAGTTTCATCACCGACGCGAGGACCCCATCATCGTCATCGGCGTGATCAGCATCGGCTCCGTCGTTGGCCTTGCCGTCGTCATCGTCTTCAGCATCACCATCCGCGCTATTGTCATCATCGTGTCTGCCGTTGCCGGCGTCGCCATGATACCGCGCCCGCTGAAGTCATCGACTAGCGCTGAAGTGTCCGCGCGTCAGCGCAGCATGCGAGACGCGTTGGGCAGTGCCCAGTGGTCAGCGCCACCGCGACCGCGTCGGTCGCGCCAAACCAGCTGGCCGCTTTACGCGCGCGCATCCGCGGGCTAGCACGGCCGCAGAGATGCACCAGCCAGCGCCAAGCACTCATCGCAGTCGCCGCCGCATGGGTTTTGCAAACCAAGTTGCGGGCGAGTGAGTGGGATGATTGCGCGTGCAGTGGACCTGATATTTCCAAGCGTCCAAATTTGACCACGCCTCATGTATTTCACAGAGCGTAGCGACAGCTTGCACCACAGAGCTTGCATCACTTAGGTTACGAAGCCCATAGTCATCATATACACAGGTGTGCAGCGTGTTGCACCATTTGGTGTACACCACCACGCAGCTTGCACCTTACAGTTTGCGCAACGCAGTGTTCATCCCATTGCATACACCAAACGATAGATTACACTGCGCAGATTCCACATCGCAATACGTCATTGTCCAGGGCCCTCGCTGAATATGGTGCGTATGTGTCTGATCGAGCTGACCCTCTGCGCCCGCATCGTTCATCGTCGGCGTCGTCCCCCTCATTCCCCGGCTTCCGCCTTTCGTTGGTTCCCTCGCGTTCGACCAAAATCATTCGCGATGCGAAGCGAGGTTCGTCGAAATGACCCCCTCGATGTGTTGTCGGTTCGCCCTCATTGTCTTTATTTGCGTCCTCGTCGTCGCCCGCCGCCTCGATTGATGCACACATGTTAGCCCTGGTTGCAGGGTTCGACCTGCTGCTTTCAACATGCACGACGTATCGATCAGGCGTCCTCGGGTGTATCAATGCAGGGTCCGTCTTGCCCTGGCCAGGACCTCTGCTAGCTTAAGTAAGCTCCAGGCGACTTCCCAGTAGTTACTCCCCGTGCACCCCCACAGCCCAACAGAGGCTGAAGGCGCGACTGGACACGAATCTGCAGGAGGCGCCCCTCTGCATGGGGGAAGCGGCCCAGGTGGCGACGGAATGTGATGGCGCTAAGATGATCGTGCCCGAAGGGTACTTGGCGCTGCCTGATGACCGCACCGCCGAATTCCAAAGGGCACCAAGGTAGACTCCGGCCGACGTGTCATAGTTTGAAAGTTGTGTGGCCCCTATCGAGTTCAGTTCGGATTTGCGGCCAACAGTAAGCTGGATAATAAGACTGGAGAAGCTGCGCCTGGGGAGCCATATAGGCACAGGCCAGGGCCAGGCAGCGCTATAACATATCTGCCGTTCGCTCAGGCAAACACCCAGACACCGCCAAAGCCGTGCAGGTTCTTCGGGCTCGCATGTCTTGCCCCAATATTGAGTGGGCTTCTTGGCTTCCGACACATCATCTCTTTACTTCTCCTTCCTTCTCCTCTTCCTCCTCCTCCTCCTCCTCCTCTCCTCCTCCTCCCTCCCCCCTCCTGCATCCACTGAAAATGCCCTCCCCCATACCTCCGTTTTTCCTCATGATATGATTGTACCCTTCCCACCCCAGTAGTCTCCACCAGCCCCATTCGCCGCTTAAGCGGCGACCCCTCTCATCCTCCAGGGAAAACCGCGGCATCCATTGGCAACCCGCGATATTGATCAGGAACCGTGCCCTCCCCTCTTCGCCAGCTGCCCCTCCAGGAATGCCCCGCCACACGGCGGCAGGCATCCGCACATCGTGCCGCTTGTCAGGGACCGTGCCCTTCCCAATCCGCCAGGCCTATCAGTGCCATCTGCTTCTCCAGGGAGGCGCCGCCAGACCGCGGCAGGCATTCGCACCCAACGCGACAGAATAGAAGGGCGGAGGTAGACCAGGGCCGAGAGCCAGCACAGTTGGCACATGCTGATGGACAACTGGCACTTCCCGAAGTGCGTCTGTGGGAAGGAAAAGGCCACGAAAGAGTCCCACGAGGGGGACGGGGAGCCCTGCACCGCCCGCTGTTGGCAGCCGTTTCGCCGGAGTCCTCCTCGGAGTGTATTCAGGGCCCGTGCCCTCGCCTCAATGCCAGCTGCGTGTTTGGCCCAGACGGCCACCATCCCGGGTGACAAATATGCCATGCGGTGCACATGGCCGTGCTCTCGCCCCTGGCACTGCTTGCCGACCTCCTGCTCCTATGCGCGCCTCTTCGCCCTTGTTGTTGAGCTGAGGTGTGTTCCTTGCCGAACTTTCTACACATCATATCCCTTTTTTCAAGTTTCTTGGTTTGCACAACACACCAAGCAAACCCAATCAGTCGCTTTGTCGGATGTAAGATGTAATGTGTATTGGTAGGTCGGTTCTCTAGCCGGATCTGCGGTTCTCCGTAGCCTTTGTTGTCCAAGCCGGTCAAGGATGATCAAGGATAGCCAGCGCGGTCGACGGTTGCACGAGTCGGCAAATTTGGACCATAACAAACGTTGAAGACATTCTTCGAATGGAGCTCTCTCAAGTGCGCCAGCTCCTTTCCAGGACCGCCCGCCCGCTTTCACTGTCCGTCGTCCACCGCGAGAAGTACACGACTATCCTGTGTGACGAGCTGTACAGATTTTCCAGAGGGCTCGTCGGAGAGGATCGAGCGCACTGGCAGCACCACGTGGACACGTGCACGGAGGCTCACTTGCTGCGCTGCGCAGGCACCGGCACGCTGCTCGGCTTCCAGTTCTGGCGCCGCGACACGTCGGCTGCCGTGCCCATCATCTGGGGCGGGAAGCTGCGCTTCTCGCCGGAGATCCGCCGCCAGGGCGTCCACCTCGCGCTGAACCTGCTCGCGCTCGACGGCATGCGGCGCCAGCACGCCCAGCACGCGCCCGTTTACCGCGTGTCGCTCTGCAACGTGTTCGGGTTCCAGGCGTTGCGACCTGGCCTGGAGGCGTTCGTCCCTCCGCGGATGCCCGCTACCGTCGCGGCGGTGGTCAGTGCCGAGCTCAATCGTTTTGTCGAGGAGAACGGCTTCAAGATGTGTCGCAGCACAGGTCGTGTCAACGTGGGTCAGGATGCGTTGCAGTCGCCAGAGGATCTTCCTGAATCGTTCTGGGGGCGACCCGAGGTCGCCGAGTTCAGAACGGCTGGGCTGAGCGGAAGCGAGCTATCGCGCCCTGCAACGCTGAGCCGGCTGAACGATTGCTTCTTGGTCTGGGAGTGGAGCAATGCGAACGTTGCAGCGATGCGCGACAGGTTGTACGCTAAACTGGGGACGGCGTAGTTGGCTGTGCGTGGGGGTCTGGGGAACGTTTGCCTCCAACTATGTCGATCGGAGCTCGGGGGTTGAGATCGAAGTGAAACTCAGACCCCCCACCGGGAAATCGGTTTCGGTTTCGTGTAATGCGTGCGGGCGGGCGAGGCGAAGTTGCGTGAGCGGGCGAGCGGGATGAAGTTGTCGTTGCTAGGGCGAGCGCTAGCCAAATGATGCCGCCACCCCCCCGGTTGGCCAGCGGTGGCTCGGAGGTTCCGCCGGTTGGCTGGCGATGGCTCGGGGGTGTTCCGATGCTGTCCCGATGCTGTCCCGATAGAGTCCCGATGGTGTTCGGATGGTGTCCCGATCGTGTCCCGATCGTGCCCCGATGGTGTCTCGATGGTGTATGGTACCACTTGCCCCGGCAGTGTCTTCATGTGCTCCTCCCGATGCTGCGTCGATGGTGTCCCGCTGGTTTCTCGATGGTGTCCTAATGGTGTTCACTTGGTTTCCCGATAATGTCCACGTGGGCTCCCAATTGTGTTCACATGTTTTCCCGATGATGTGCGCATGGTGTCCCGATAATGTCCACATGGTGGCCCGATTGTATGATTTATCCGCCCCCACATTCTCTTCAGGTGCTCCTCCCGATGGTGTTTCGATAGTGTCCACATGGTGTTCCGATTGTGTCCCAATGGCCCAATGGTGTTCACATGGTGTCCTGATGGTGTCCACATGTTGCCCGATGGTGCCCAAATGGTGCCCCAATGGTGTCATGATGATGTCCCGAGGGGTGCCCACATGGTGCCCTGGTGGTATCCCGATGGTACGTCGATGGTGTCTCGCAATGGTCCTGTGGTCGTCCCGCCGTTGCCTCGCAGGCGTCCAGGCGGTTGTGTAAGGGTTCTCAGGAGGAGGAGGAGGAGGAGGAGGAGGAGGAGGAGGAGGAGGGGTTCTCAACGACACCATCATTACCAGCAGCATCATCACCATCATCATCACCACCACTCTCACCGTCACCATCATCGGGCGAGACGCCCTACATCATCTCCATCATGATCGCCATCATGCATCGTCACCAGCATCGTCATCATGCATCGTCACCAGCTCCCGAGCGCATCACCGGCATCGTCAACATCACAATCGTTGCAGTGTGTCAACAGTCGGCTCCCCCTTATCCCCCGAAGGGTTGTCGTATTTGCACGTCCATGGTCTGCTTCGGGTGCTGCCAGAGGTGTCCCAGGCCCCAGGCCACCCCAGGATCTTCGAGGAGGCCCCCACGCCCTCCAACCAGAGCACCCCTCCTGAGGCCAGAGGGGCCCAGAGGGCTCCCACATGCAGCGAGAAGCTGGGGACACCTTGACTTCAGTCGGACATGTCTCTCCACAGGAGGCAAATTCAAAAATAGTCAAACATCGTCTGGGGACGAGATTTCGATCATTTTTGACCATGTTCGGCCGTGTGTGGATTCTTGTTCATTGTTCTTCCCAAACTCCGCCTGTGGGGGGACATGCCCGACCGAAACCTTGGCCCCCAGGGGCACCTGCAGCAACCCCCCGAGTGATCAGAGCGCGGCCACACGCCGTGCAGTGCGCGCCGTGGCATCCACAGCGCGAAGAGGCCGTGGTGGTCTTCGGGGGGCCCTCCTCGCCGAAGCGCCGCACGAGGGGGGCGCCTCGGGCCCACGGGCCGCCCGCGGCCAGCGGCGCGGCGCCGCGACGGCGAGCGCCGCCGCCCGCCTCTTCCTGCCACCACTCTTCTCCGCTCTCCCTTCCCCCCCCCCCTGGCATGGATCGGCTTCGAGGTGCCACACTCTCCCACTTCCTGCCACCGTTGTTCTCCGCTCTCCCTTCCCCCCCCCCCCCGGCCCGCCGCTTGCCCACTCTTGGCGGTGCGCCCCTAGGAGGAGGAGGGGGGGAGGAGGAGGAGGAGGAGGAGGAGGAGGAGGAGGAGGAGGAGGAGGAGGAGGAGGAGGAGGAGGAGGAGGAGGGCCACACGCGCACTCAGCACACGCCGCCCAGCGCGTGCAGGGAGCCTCCTGCCGCCCAGCGGCCTGTAGGGATTTCGCGACAGCGACGCCAAGCGCGCGAGTGCCCCGACAAGCCCGTGCTGACGCGGCCACAGGCGTGGCGCTACAGCTTGCAAGCCTACATAGCGTGCGCCTATGCGCAGCGGACACCAGTAGACTCTACACGGATGTTTTCCGATCAGTGTCCCCCCGAAAACGAACATGTTGCCATGCGCCGTGTCTGCTAAAGTCGAAGGGAGGTTGACAGGCCACGATCGCAGAAAGCTACAATGAGCTGTTGGAGTATGCCTCGGCGAAGCAAGCGACGGCAACAGCAACGGTAGCAGCACTGTGACCACAGGAAGCTGCTAGACTTGGCCATGGTCATGTCGGTGTTCCTGGATGAGACCTCCCAGGGTCCTGGGTCTGGTCCGCCTCCCAGGGTGCTGGGAGTGGTTCGCAAGGCCTCGTTGATGCCTCGCGGTACTTACAGGGCCACCCAGGAGCCGCCCGGCACGGAGCCGTGCGAAGAAGGGGGAGGGGGGGGGGGCAGGCGGGCTCCGTGGCCCTCCGCCCCCAGAAGCATCGCGCCTTGCATACCCAGCAGGTCCGCACGCCGCTTCCCTCGCCCGTCTTCCGGCAGCCTTCCCCACATGCCGCAGAGCAGCCCGGCACGTGCAGCCCCACGCCCTGTTCTGCACACGCCTTGGCATGCTCCGCCCCGGCGACACGGGGGCGCGTGGTGAGACTGAAAAGCGCACGTTGGCAGGGAAGGGAGAGAGATAGTCAGGAGGAAAAGAAACACACAGACACAATTAATCGTCCACTCCCAGGAAAATATGGGAAAATATGGGAAGTGGGGGGGAAGACAGAAACCCAGAAAATATGGGAAAATATGGGGAATATTTTTATTTGTGTGTATTTTTGTGTGTGTCCTGGGGGCCCTTCAGATAGGGAGAAAGAGAAAGGAGAGAGACGGGCGGACGGCCGGAGAGAGACAGAGAGAGAGAGAGCGCGACATGCGTCATTTGCGTTGCCTCGAGGCCTCGCCTCGAAGAGTCACGTCCTGGGCCCAGAGCCTCCATAGCTGCCGAAACACTTCGAAAAGATTCGAGGACCCTCACCCACCCGCGCGTGCGCTGCTGGCGATGCGCGCACGAGGGTAGGGCGAAGTCTTCTCAGAAGGCACCCCGCTCATTAGAAGCCTTCCCGTCTTCTGAGAAGTTTGCCCTGAGTCACCGGGCGCGTTCCACTACTCGCAAAGTGCCTACTCGCAAACGTCCGAAAAAAACACACACACACACATTCGCCTCGATGTCATTTATCGTAAATCCTCCGCGGCTGATCCAGGCCATCTGCGAGCAGTGACTTTGCGAGTAGTGGAACGCGCTTGCCTACTGAGGCCCCCAAGACGGGACAGGCCCCGTCTGAGGAGCTCCCTGCCTTCCGAGAAGGCCGCCCCGCCGCCGCCGCCGCCGCCCATGGCTGGGGAGGGTCCTGGCCCTCCAGTGCAAAGTGGCGCCATGAAATCTTCCAGATTTCATGGCGCCATCTTCTTATTCTTCTTCTTCTTCTTCTTCTTCTTATTCTTCTTCTTATTATTTTTCTTCTTATTATTCTTCTTCTTCTTCTGTAGACGCGTTCTCTGGCCCCCCTCGTCCGCGCACATATCTCGGGCCATGATGCGTCAAACCCCTCTCTTCCTGGCCTCCGCCCTCGTCGGCGCGCCCGAGAACAAAGAGGAGGACGCCGAGGAGGAGCAGCAGCAGCAGCAGCAGCCGTTGGGATGGCGAGCTCCACGATCGGTCGGAAGCAGCGAGAACACATGTACAAGTGACTCAGAGGAGGAGAATGAGGAGCTGGAGGAGGAGTAGGAAGGTGAGGACGAGGAGGATGAGGATGAGGAGGGCGACCACGAAGACCACGACGACCCCCCCCCTACCCCGCGAGCCGCCACTCCAGTGCCCGCCCCTGCCCGTTGCCCGCAGGTTCCAGGGGAATTTCTCCCGCGCCAGCGACCTCTACAGCGTAGGCCCCGCGGCCCGCCGCTCTTCGCCAGCTGGCCCTCCGGGGAGCATCGGGCATACCTTTGCGGATCTGTGCATCCAGGTATCGCCCTGCAGCCGGTGATCCCTGCCAGGCTACAGTCGGGGCCCTGAAGAAGGAACCCTTTTCGTTGGGGAGGGGCTCCGTGTTCCTGAAGTGTTTCGCAGCTTGCCTCGGGCTTTCCTCATGCCTTCGATCGGACATCGAAGTTTAACTTGTGGAAAAATGGGGCCTCGTTCCTTACTAAGGGTTCCTTAGGGCAACGCCCCTTATGGGGGCCAGCCAAGGGCGCGACTTCGCCGAGGCCTTCGGCGGCGCGCAAACGTGGTAGAGAGGAAAGAGAGCAGGAGGAGCATGAGGAGCGGGAGGAGGAGGACGAGGAGGAGGAGGAGCAGGAGGAGGAGGAGCTGGAGGAGGAGGAGGATAGGCCGACTGTATGCGCCGTCGGCACCCGAACGAGCCTGAGCAACGTCGGCCTGCTCGAGGGCGGGCGCGCGGCACGCCCGCTGGCGCGCACGCGCGTGCGGCCTCCGCGCCCGGCGCCACGCGGCGCTCGGCGTGCGTGCGCGGCCCTCCTGCGGGGGCGCGTGTGGCGGCCCTCCTCCTCCTCCTCCGCCTCCTCCTCCTCTTCCTCCTCCTCCTCCTCCTCCTCCTCCTCCTCCTCCTCCTCCTCCTCCTCCGCCTCCTCCTCCTCCTCCTCCTCCTCCTCCTCCTCCTCCTCCTCCTCCTCCGCGCCGTGTCGATGTCAGCGCGGGCGTTCGAGGTTGACCCCTGCCGGTGGCCCAAGAGTCGCCCGAGGTGGAACGATCCGCGGCAGGGTGGTCGTGCAGAGGGGACGGCTCCCGGCGGGCGCCCTTGTCGTCCGGCACGACCTCAGGCCGCCGGTCGCGAGTTCGCGCGGGGCCAGCGTTCTGTCTTGCAGTTCTGTGGCCACCGTCTTCGTGGTTCGGTTGCCATGCGCCCAGTTTCTATGAGTCCCCAGCGTTTTATTCTAGCACGTGCAGAGAGCGTCTGCCCAAAGCCAGCGCCAGGGACCTGGGGATAGGCTTGTTTCAGACCCCCTGTGCCAGGGGGACGGCTTCTACATCAGAACACCTGCCCCTGGAAATGTGGCCTGTGCCCCCGAGAGGGATGCGTCGGATGTGCAAATGCCCCTTGGGGACGCGAGTTTCTCCAAGCGGATCTCATCCCTCCCTGCCTCGCTGCCCCTCATGGTCAGAGGAGGGACAGGGCGAGGAGGGGGTCTGGGGCAGGATGGGAAGGGAGCTGGAAGCTGGAAGAAGGGGGGGAGGGACGGAGAGAAAGGATGAGGAGGACGAGGAGGAGGAGGAGGAGGATGAACAAGAGGAGGAGAAGGAGGAGGAGGAGGAGGGGGGAGGAGGAGAAGGTCTAGGTAAAGGACGACGGCTCCGACGGCGGTGACGTCCACCACGACCTTGACCATGACGGCGGCGGCAACGACGGCGAGACGGAGAGCCGCGTGCCGGTGCCTCTCTGGGGGGCGTGCGGGCTCAGTCGCGCCCATGGCGGGCGCCATCTTCCACGCCTGCCCCTCCTCGTGAGCACCTTTTCGTGCACGCGAGAGCCTTTTTCGGTATTCTCTGTCACTGCTGACACTTGTTTCGCATCGATGGTTGTCTTGTCTTCCTTTTCACGTTGCCCAAGCTTCAGCTAGCTCAGCCTTCTCGTCCTCCCCCTTCTTGACATGGGCCCCGGGACCTTCGTCGCCAACATAGAGCGCAGAAGCGCTCTAAAAGCCACGGCCGGAGCCGTGCCTGCGCCAGCTGGCTCCGGGGGCTCCCCCCAGGTCCCATCGTTCCTTTTCCTTCTCATCCTCCACTCTCTGGCTGTACGGTGGGGGCGCGCATCAAGAAACCATGTGCGTTTCGTCAGGGTACTCAGTGTTTATTCGCTCCGCGCGCTGCGCGGTGACTTTCCGCGGCCGTCAAAGAAGCTGGTGCGTTCAGGTTGCTGTGGGCTTCCCCTCAGGTGCACTTCGCGCGCGGGTTTTCAGGGTCGGGTTTCTTGTGAAGATGTCTTGCGACTGCGCCCGCACTGTAGGTACCGACGTGTGCATTATCAAGCTTGACGGCGCCCCGACTCCATTGAAGCGAAGCATATTATATCTAGGTTGTTTGATTCGCGACGGCATCAAGATAGGGTCAGAGTTGTCGCGACGCCTAGGGGCTGCAGTTGCAGATTTGTACGAACGCGCCCGGAGATGAAGCCACTTAATTCGTAGGCAACAGAAGGTGATGCAAGTATTTAAGCCGTGCAGTACAAAAAACGGATCTATTGTCCGCACACCTCTTATTTCAATGAGCAGGAGGCGCGCCGTTTTGACGCGTCCAGGCGCGGTTCTTGAGCAAGCTGCTGCATCTTCCCAATGCACACATCAGCATATTCTCGAAGAGCGCAGCTTTTCAGCGGAGCAACCCGCCCACTTAGCAACACGCTCCTCCGTAGACAGCTTCATCTTCTTGGCAGCATCGCCAGAAAGCCAGGTGACGACGCTGCGCGGTGCACAGTGCTTCCACCCTTTTCCTCCCTCCGCCTCCCCCCTCCCACCCAGAGCGCCTGCGAAGCAGCTGTGGGAGGGGAAGCATTCCCAGCGCTACAGTCGGGCCGCTGAATAAGGATCACTGACATTTCAAAAGGGGCTCTGTCGTTCCTTAGGTTTATGTGTGTTGTTGTCTTTTTGGCGGCGAGCCCTCCCGGTGTTCCTTCGGATTTGGGACGCGCGTGTTCGTTTTGTCGATCGGGGCGGCGGGCTCAGGGCACGGAGCTCCACGAGATGCAGCGGTGGTCGCGTTGACGCCCAGCTCCTCTCCCGGGCCCTCCCGTCCCTAGCGGGGCGTCGGAGCTTACCTTCGCTTCCTTAGGCCACGCGTTGTTCGCGGGCTGCGTTTCTGCGTTTGATGTCAGAGCGGCGGGGGAGGAGGGGGCGGGCGTTCCTTGGTGCTTTCGCAGAGGGGGTGGGTTCTAATCGCGAACGCAAATCATGGCAGAACGCCGCCATCGTTCTGTAGGTCAGCGGCCCGACTGTCTGACAGGACGCCGTTTACTCGGCCACGGCGTGGCGCTTCGCAGCCAGTGTGTGTTGCGTTTCCGCGCGATGGTGGCCATGTGCCCATGCGCGTCCCGTACCCGGCATGCTGCCTGCCTGCTTGCCGAATCCTCTGCTTTCCCGCTTTTGTTCTCCCGTCCTTGCTCCCCGGTCGGCCTTCCTGCTCCCCCCCTCTCCCTGCGTTCCCCCCTCACCTCCGCCCCCCCCCCCCCCCCATCTTGCTCACTTCTTCACCACCCACCAAACCACCCCAACCCAACCCGAAGGCTTAGATTTACCCTCGATTTCCAGTGGGGGGGGTGTCGGGAAACATCGAAAAAACACGTGTGGAGCCCTTACCCCCCCCAACCCGAAATTCGGGTCTTCGGGTTGGGTTGGGGTGGTCTGGTGGGTAGTCACTTCTCGCCCTGGCGAACATCGTCGCCACCGCTCCCTCGAAGGGGGCCCGCCCGCCATCTGGCGACCGCGTTGGGGGCCGCGGCGCGCCCGCCGCCGCCCCGCCCGACGCCGACCCCTGCGAGGGCTCGCGGAGGCTCATGTCGCGCACGTCCTGCCCGTTTCTCGCCCTCCCTGCGCCCTCTCCGTCGCCGCCGCCCTCTCTTGGCATCGCTCGGACGCGTGCATTTTTCCTTTTCCTTCGCCGAGGACCATCGAGGAGCATCTTGGATCCTTTGGCGAAGAAGCCACGCGCGAAGCCGACACAAAACTCGGGGAATGGACGTCCGAGCGATGGCCAGCCCTGGCCTGTGAGGCCGAGGTGGAGCTATCCAGCCCCGGGCGCCGCACGGTGCCCGCCGCGCACCGCCAGATCCTGGCCGCCACCGGGGCCACGGAGGTGATTGCGGAAGCAAGAGTACACCTTAGGCGATGCTTCAGAATATTTAAGTTTTCGGCCAGAGTCTCGATTATTCTTAACGTTTCAGTGTAAATCCTAAGTTTTTAGTAGAAATGTTGGGTTTTTATTCAAGATCTGAGACTATGAATTTCTTAACCCATGATTTCTTAAGCATTTCGCAGGGTGTACCAGCACAGGAACGACGCCAGGGTCGAGGATCTGTGCGAGGCAAGGGAGAGGCGAGACTCTGCTGGGCGATTCTCGCGACTCACAGCTGGAGGACGCTGCTGGCCACGGAAAGGAGACTGCTGGACGGCGGTCACCGCTAACCCGATCAAGCAGGAGCGGATTGATGTCTGGAAACTGCCAGGAGGCGAAGGAGAAGTGGAAGGCACGGAGCAGAACGAGGAGGAGGTGGAGCAGATGCCACACTTGGCGGAAGAGAAGGAGAGAGAGAGAGGGAGAACAACGAAAAAACGTGTATCGAGAACGACCAAGAAAAGCCATTGGAAGCAGGCTACGAGGAGATCGCGCAGAGCCTGAAGAAGGCCACGCTGCGAAGGGCAGCGCCACAAAGGCAACACCTTCGGAACTGTGGCGACTGATGCCATGCCACTCACCCGAACCACATCAGCAACAGCGACAAGGACTCGGAGCGGAACGAGGAGCAGAACGACTTGAAGGCTTCGAGGCTCTATGCAAGACCGCACTGGCAGCGATAAGAACCAGCAGCGTGGCGCCAGTAAGATGGCATCAAAACGCAGCGACAGCAGCTCGGAAGAATGCGACGAAAGGCCCCGCAGGCAAGATAAACTACCACGTCATGGACTCGTTCGGCAGGGCGCACTACTCGGCGGGGAAGAGAAGGAACAAAGCAAGGCGATGCAAGGCACACAGCGACACAATGACTTCATAAGAGGAAACGACGAGAGGGAGTGCTCGCGGCTAACCGTGGACGCGGCCAACAGCAAGATGATGCCATAATACCAATGGGACCTTGGAAAGCAACGGTATCGCCGAGCCACGTTCAGCATACCAAGCAAGGACACGGACAAGGAAGTACGCATTAAATCACATTGCGCAGGACCCATCGGAGACCCGTACATGGTCCGCAGCTTCGTGGCGAGCTTCACACCCTGCAACCAGAGATGGGAGAGATGGGTGGACGACATCAAAGAGGAGATCAAGACGGACAGCCCCCTGTACGGCAAGAGCGAGCTATTTCAGCACCCACCAAGTACGCTTACGACCCTAGAATTTTGATCCCAGGAGGCTACGACGCGAACGCGCAAAAGCTGGTGAACATGGGAATAAGGTAGACAATAAGCTCAACATGGGGCTGGAGGATATTGGGATGCGACAGAACCAGGACAAGCAGGAAAACATACTGCACTTCCAGGGCAGTGGCACCACCAAGGCGCACCGTGGCCTTAAGAAGGACCCCAGTTGCAAGATGCTTGGCGAATTACGCCAAGCAGCACGCTACAGGGGCTCCCAGATCACGGCGACGCAGAGCTACACCGCGGAGTTCCAGAAACGATTCTGGCGATGAAGAAAAACTGCGACGAATGCAGAGGCTCCTGGACGAAAGCTGACATCCCCTCTGGGTGGAAGCGCACGGTTCTCATGTTCAGGGTCGTCAGCGCGGGCTTCTCGTGCATCGAGTTTGTTCCCCCCCGACGCCGAATGAGGACCTGCAGCTGCAGAGCGCGCCCACCGTCATGCTGGCAGCGCGAGGAGCACGACCACTTCGGAGGTCTCTCGCCACTGGCGAATTCGGCTCCCACAGAAGACGCACTGGACCGCAGACTTCGCAAGGCAAAAAATAGGTTGGGATTCCCGGGTAACCGCCGCTAGCTGATCGCAGCGATGCTCGGCTGAAACGAGTTCGAGAGAAAGGACGACGACGGCACGGTCGGCGAGCTCAGGAGCGACGCGAACCCATGGGCCCGAAGATTCGCGAACGGCACCGAGTGCGGCTGCGAGGTGCTCGGAGAGCTTCCGCGCGACGCTTGGCGACGAGATCTCGATCGGCAAACACTTCGCGCGAAACGTGCGACAGCGGCTATACCTACTAGACGTTAGAGAAGGAAGGCCATCTGGGCGAACAGCGGCAGTACCTCTTCCAGGAGCAGGACAAACGGCGAACGACGAAATGAGCTAGCCCTACAGGGGCTACAACCGTGGAGATGCGAAAGCAAGGTGGAGGAGGAGGAGGAGGAGGAGGAGGAGGAGGAGGAGGAGGAGTGTAGACTGCAATTGCAAGCAACCAGTACTTGGATGGACACTTTATGGGAAACCATCAAGTAAGTTCACTGTCCAGCTGAAGCAGTAACATCAATGACCGAGCGCATCAACTGCTGGCAAGTATTCACGAGCCGATGCACAGCGTGGACGCATCTGGCGAGAATCATGGTGAGCAGATGTTACAACCAGGGCAAGAGGGAAACCAATACCAGCCAGAACCCAACAATCCGAGACACCCTATATGTAGTCATTTGGCTTTGGGGCAGAAGGAGTTTCTTCAAAGGCTTCTGTGCGCACTTACCGACACAGCTGCTACTCCCACAAGAGCAGGATGGCGCTGATCGACCAGGGACCATAGTGGAGCGTGGCAGCGCCAGCAGCAGGATCAGCGCGCCGAGGTCGACGTAGGCAGGGACCACGAACACCCGCGGGACAAGCAGGAGGCGCAGCGGCAGCACCCAACAACAGAGTGGCAGACCCCACGGCGCGCTTGGCTCTTACGCTGGCACTGGGGCATGCGGAGCTGGCTCGGCAGTACTGCGGACGCGGGAAATCATGGCGGCCGCGAGCGTAGCTTTTGCGGCGCCCCACGGCGGCAAGGACTGCAACGGCGCGCAGAAGGGCAGCGCAAGGAGGGCAAGTCGACGCGGCGTCCCTCGGCAGCCCGCGCGTGAAGGTCTGGGCGGACGTCGCGGTCTACATGGGACGCAATCCAGAGGGCGGGGCGGCGAAGCAGTTCATCGGAAAGTATTAGCAGGAGACGACCCTGAGTGGCAGCGAGGAGCTGGTGGCAGGCCCTGCCCCCTTCTTCAGGGCGAGACACAACAAGGGCAAGGCGGGTGGAGCAGCCGAGAAGTGCAGGTTCCAGTTCCGAAGTAAGAACGTACTCCGTCAGCTCGAGACCATCGTAGCGAACCAGGCGAGGAAGGAAGGCGCGACGCACAAAGTGTGCGCGGCGCCTCGGGGAGCGCTGGAGCGGGAGCAGCGCAGGTTGATTAACGGATGAGGGTTGCCAGAAGACCGTCGAGGTGAGGCCGTAGAGGCCGCTGAGCGTAGCAAGCAGCCTCGCTCCGTTCCACAGGCCTCCGTTCCCCTTGCTGTGCCCGGAATGTTCGAAACGAGCGCTTGTTTTCTCGAACCAGTACAGAATGGCAGACTCCCAGACTCCCCTCGACCTCCGCAGGATGCCTCAGAGGCTTTTCAGCTCCAGGTCAGGATTTCCCGAACTATGTTGCGATGCGCCGGCCTCCCTCCCTAAAACCGAAAAAAAGGAAAAGGCAGATGGGGCCAGGACAGGGGCGCGGAGAGGCAGCAGAGAGGGCATCCGCAAACGCGGGTGCTACCCTGCCCGCGGACCCCTGCGTGGAGAGGTCGGTGCAGGTAGGGCCAGAGCGGCACATGGCGCCAGCGACCCCCTTTCCACAAAGCGAACACACCTAGGCCATACTAGATTGTTGAGCGCTAGCACCCAACTGGCCCGAGAGCTCGATCGATCCCTTTCCTCCTCCTCCTCCTCGACTCCTCCTCCTCCTCCTCCTTCTCCTCCTCCTCCTCCTCATAATTTTCCCCTCCCTTCCATCTCCCTCCCTCCTGTCTCCTCTCTCCATCCGTCCTCCCCCCTCCCGCAGCCTGTGGAGTCCCAGAGACTGGCCAGAAGCGCGTCAAAGAACCTCGGCGCCTCAGGCGCCGAGGTCCTCCCCTCGTGCTCGCGCCGATCCGCGAGTCTCCCCTCGACCGTCGATGCTCGATCCTGAACCCTCCCCTCGATATCCCTTGGCCGCACGTCGAGGCGTCATCCTGTACCTGCTCATGACGGGGAAGATGCCGTACCCGGACGAGCTCTTTCAGGACAGGGGGGGGGGGGGGGGGGCGCGCGCCGCGCGGCCGCGGGCCCAAGCGGAGGAGAGGAGGAGGGCGGAGGGACGAGGAAAAAGAGGGTGGGCCGGCGGGAGGGAGGCATCCCCGGCCCTGGCCAGAGCACACCCCCGCTCTAGGGCCAGCCTCTGCTGAGCGGTGTGCTGGTTCTGGGGTGGTGGGTTGCGCCGGCTCCCGGTCAACGTGCTCGGGCGCTCGGGCGGACGCGATCGCCGCCGGGAGGGAGGGAGGGAGGGAGGGAGGCAACGGCAGCTGAGTGGAGGGAGTAGCAAGTTTAGCCAACGTGCCGCTGGTGGGGCGGAGTGTGCCTGTGTTCGGGGGAGGGAGGCAGGCAGGGAGGGAGGATGAGGGCGAGGAGGAAAAGGAGAAAGAGGACGAGGAGGGAGAGGGGGAAGGAGGATGAGGAGGGATTGCAGGAATGTGAAAATACCCTCAACTCAAGCCTGCGCTTGAGGTTCAGGCTTAAACTTGGGAATCACGTTGCGAGCGATGCGATATAGATACTCACGACGTGTCTCGGACATGGGCAGCTTACATGGCGAACCTGATCCCTTGAGCTGGGCCTGACCGATGAAGCCACAAATGCTGCAGAACCACATGGCAAGACTATGATGGTACTTTAGGGCGTGTGAGGGGTGGGCCCAACATCGGCACCCCCTCCAAAGCCGAGACACCCTACCATCTACATTCTCCAACGGGTTGCAATCACTGTTAAGCCACTCGGACTTTGTTGCAAGCGTGGCGGAACCGTTGCACACTGGAGGAGGAGGAGGAGGAGGAGGAGGAGGAGGAGGAGGAGCAGCAGGAGGAGGAGGAGGAGGAGGAGGAGGAGGAGGGACAGTGTAAACCCAAGAGTGATCAACGATGTTGGAATAAACCCTCCCTCCAGGCTCCCTCGTCTTAGGCCCCTACAGAGGTTCATTTCCACTGAGGGAACTGCCTCTTTGGGAGACAACCGTTTGAAGACCCTGAAGCATAACAAAACATTGTTCTCGGAATTCCAACGCAGCGGATCAATATGACTGTTGCGTCTAAACGATCCCGAATCGCGCCACAACGCCGTTCTTGGGACATCAACACCGCGAATCAGCCGAAGTGTTGCACCCTTATGATCCAGAATCCTTCCACCACAATTTCTGGTACGCTGATCCAGAGAATCCATGCAACTCTTGCAAACATATCAACGAATGCGCGCGGCGCAAAGGCGAGAGCCACATTTTGAAAAGGAGCCGCCCTCAGTCCGTGAAGCTCTTGCAAGTGTTTGAAAACGAATGTACTCGGCGCTCAGGCGAGAGCCGCATTTTCACAACGGCCCGCCCTCAATCCGTGAAGCTCCTGCATGTTGTATATATACTTGTATATCTATACATATATATATATATAAGAAGAATAAGTTTGAAACATCCGGGCGAAGAACCCAGACATATGCAGCTGTGAATGCCGCGTTGTGGGTACAGCTCTCGGTGAGGCCCCGCATGGGGCCACGATCCTCGTGGGGGGTGTGCCGACATTGGCGGGGGGACGCACGCAAACCCTGCCGCTGGGGCCTTCGGTAGAGCTCCCTATTGGGCCACGATCCTCGTGAGGGGTGTGCCGAAAAGGGCGGGGGGTCGCAAGCAAACCCTGCCGCTGGGGCCTTCGGGCCTTCGGTGGAGCTCCCTTTGGGGCCGCGATCCTCGTGAGGGGTGTGCAGAAATCAGCGGGGGGGCGCATGCAAACCCTGCCGCTGGAGCCTTCGGTGGAGCTCCCTATGGGGCCACGATCTTCGGGAGGGGTGTGCCGACATGGGCGGGGGGACGCATGCAAACCCTGCCGCTGGGGCCTTCGGTGGAGCCCCCCATGGGGCCGCGATCCTCGTGATGGGTGTGCCGACATGAGCGGGGTGACGCATGCAAACCGTGCCGCTGTGGCCTTCGGTGGAGCTCCCTATGGGGCCGCGTTCTTCGTGAGAGGTGTGCCAGAAATCAGCGGGGGGACGCATGCAAACCCTGCCGCTGGGGCCTTCGGTGGAGCTCCCTATGGGGCCACGATCCTCGTGAGAGATGTGCCGCTGGGGGACGCATGCAAACCCTGCCGCAGGGCCCTCTGGTGGAGCTCTCTCTGTGCCACCATCATCGCGAGGGGTGTGCCGAAATGGGCGGGGGAACGCATGCAAACCCTGCTTCTGGGGCCTTCGGTGGAACTCCCTATGGGGCCGCGATCCTCGTGAGGGGTGTGCCGACATGGTGGACATGCGGCGAGCAGAAGCAGGAATGGGAGGAGGGAGAAGGGGAAGGAGGGAGGGGGCAGCGGGAGGAGGAGGATGAGGTGAGACGCGGGGCGTTTGTTTCCCTCAGGGAAATACAAACAGACAAACAAAACAACAACATATAAAAACGCATGCGCGCGGCGCTAAGGAGGCGAGGGCCACAGTTTGAAAACGACCCGCTCTCCACATGCAGAGCTCAGGCAATGCTGTGGAGGAGTGTGCGTGGGTGTAAGCAAGGGCTCCCCCGAGGGCGCGAAGTCATTCGCGCTTCGCGCTTCGCGGTCCTCGTTTCTCCTCCCCCTCCTCCTCGTCCTCCTTTTCTCCCTTTGGGGGGGGGGGCGGCGCGAGAGCGCGAAGTTATCCGCGCTTCGCGCTTCGCGGAGCGCGAAGCGCGAAGCGCGAAGTGGGGAGCCCTAGTGTAAGGAGGCGAGAGCCACGTGTTGAAAACGACCCGCCCTCCACCCGCGAAGCTGATGCCACTGTTGAGATTCCGAGTCGTGGTTGGTGAGGAGGTCTCGGGCGGAACGCCCGGCCCGCCCTGATCACGGGAGCCGGGGCGCGGCAGGGAGAAGTCATCTATAAAGAGATGGACTGGAGGGGGAGGAGGAGGAGGAGGAGGAGGAGGAGGAGAAGGGGGAGAAGAAGGAGGAGAAGGAGGAGGAGGAGAAGAAGGAGGAGGAGGAGGAGAAGAGGAGGAGGAGGAGAACAATGAGGATGAGGAGAAGGAGGAGGAGGAGGAGGAGAAGGAGAAGGGAGAAAGTGAGCGTATTGAAATTGCGGCTCTGGGACGCCTTCACCCCGTGAGTGGGCAGAGTTTCTGGGCGTCGACCCCCACGATGGCACAGTGGTCGCAGGCGCCTACCGTTGTGGACAGTCAATGTCCGGACAATCGTTGAGGACACCGAGGGCGAGCGCTGGGTGCTTCCCAGTGGCGCCTCAAGAAGGGAGGGAGGGAGGGAGGTAGGGAGGTAGGGAGGAGGAGGAGGAGGAGGAAGAGGAGGATGAAGGACGAGGACGAGGAGGAGGGAGGAGGAGGAGGGAAGGAGGAGGAGGAGGAGGAGAGGAGGAGGAGAGGAGGAGGAGGCGGAGGAGGAGGAGGAGGAGGAGGAGGCGGAGGAGGAGGAGGAGGAGGGAGGCGGAGGACGGAGGAGGAGGGAGGAGGAGGCAGGAGGAGGCGGAGGAGGGAGGAGGACAGGAGCCGTGCATGCGCCTTCCTGGCTTGGCCAGGGGCCTGGCCATGGGCAGTGGGGATGTCGATCTCGTCGCCACAGGCGCTGCGCCGCGGCCTCCCATCGGCGCCCCCCACGGCGGCCGCTCGCCCCTGGCGTGATTTGCCCCCCCGCGCAAGGCGCTCCTCTCCTACAGCTCCAGCTGCGACGACGCGGAGCTCACGGAGGGGAAGCGCATCATG